TGTGTGTGTGTGTGTGTGTGTGTGTGTGTGTGTGTGTGTGTGTGTGTATGTATTTACACTGTATTGTGTAATTTCCTGCAAATCAAATGACAGATGTGTTGTAAATAATAAAATAAAATCCTTATGACAGCTAATAGAACAGAAGCCATAATGAGAATCTGTCAGAGTGGCCACTGACCAGACTGCATGGTTGATTTTGAGCTCCTCCCACCTCCTTGTGCTCTCTCCACGCTGCTGCAGAGGACTCCTGCTCCGCCTCAAACACTCCACCTCTGCACAGCGCAACAGCAGCAGCAGCAGCAGCTCCAAGAGCCGAAACCAGCCTGCAGCAGCTCACGTTCTCCCGGGTCATTAACCTGTCGCTTGTGGGATACCTGAAGACAAGCGGATATCGGAACTAGAAGAGCATCAGCTGTGTTATTTTGGAAGGGGGTCTGTTTTTTTTTAAGGGGGGAAAGCGTTTGTGTTGCCAGGGAAGAGAAAGTCCAAGCAGGTAAGCAGCCAGTCAATAGGCACTAGATAACCTTGGCTACTTTGGCATGGTTATATTATAACTTTTATTTGTATTCCTTTGTACACCTATTTCGTTGGTATGTAGGTTGAGCCAAGATGTTAACATTAATGTATTGTATTAAAGCAGGTAATGAATACAGCCATCTTTTTTCGCCAGTTCACTCACTGCACGAGGGAGAACATGAAGGGTTTTTCTGCTACAATAACCTGCCGTAAACTGGATTCAGCTACAGGGGAGACAAGTGTTTAGACAAATTATCATTCATCAAATCTTAAAACGGAGGCTCAAACCAAGGCACGTGGGATGTGTTGTCTATGACGAATGCGTATTTACTAAACATGCTAGAAAAACAGTCAAACCTCAATGTGGAAGTTTGGAGATATCTGTCAAAAGTTCACAAGTTTTGGCGGAAATCCCTTCCGAGTATCGAGAATACAGGTTGTGCCCCCCCCTCCAATAAATGAATGGGCTGTATGAGTGAGGCAGGCGTGACAAATGTCACTCTTGAAAGCATTTGTTTACAGCGGGTGACTAGACGCTGGTGTGACCTGGTTATCAGACCGTAATATGGACTATAGGTTGTCTAATTATTTGGATTATGAGTTACTGGACTCTGTTATTCAGCAGGCATCTCATTCATTGACGTGTATGGGCTTTTTTTTTTTTTTTTTTTGGCAAGGCACGGCAATTCAGTAAAAAGCCGTCAATAGGATAACGCGGTGAATTATGATACAGTAACCCTAGAATAATAACCATCAAATGACCTGACGTTATACTTCATTAAGGCTGTCCCATTGCGCGCGCGCGCGCGTTCGTGCTGGTGAGTTTAGGGGGGTCAAATGTGTCTGCTGCTGGTGCCTGCAGAGGGATTCAGATAAAGTCCAGTTTTACCAGCTGTTGAGTGTCGATAAGCCCTCTAACCTTTACCTTAATTGCTCCTCTTGATCACCCTATCGCTGGGCTATTTAAACTGTTGCCATCCAGTCTAACATTGCACCCTGCCTGCATTCCTCAGTGCATCACAGCCTGTTAAGCTCCGAGCAAATGCCTAGTTTTGTGTTTTCATGGGAAACTGACAACCCAATTTGGTTTTCAGACTATGAATATAATGATTAAAGTCCCTCAGAATAGGGTAGTAAATTAATGTGTTTTTGAGACATCTAGTGGCCATGCGACTGTGTGTGAGGGGTCATGGGTGCATGTGGCTTGTGTCTTCAAGGCTCTTAGTGTCGGTATTAGGTGACCGCAAAAGCTATGAATTCCACACCTGATCAACATCTAACCACAATCATTTTTTCCTTGCACTCGTCTTATTTTTTCGAGCCCCCGACTTGTAACATGCTCTTGAGATATTTTTCATAGTCTGAGTTCTTTACCGAAGGCAGGCCTTGAATTCTGTCATATGGCTGAACTTCTAGCGGTTATGCCCTGTGTGTGTGCGTGTGTGTTTTTACAAGGGGAAGTGAGAAATATTGGACCTTGAGCTTGAGAAGGTGTGTGGAATGTAGACAGTGGGGTCTATCTCTGTTCAAACAAGCAGGGATGAACGTGTAAACAAGAGGTATAATAACCTAAACTGAGGTGTATTTCTGAGGGGAAAACAATTGAAATTCTAATGAAATTCCCACTTGTCCACTTCTATTGTTTTCTTTGATTCCTTGCGGGGAAAATAGAACAACATAGATTAAATTGTCCCTGTCAGTTTAGTCTCAACTTAGTAAACACACACAGTGCTCCGTCTGTCTATTCTTTGTCATTGCCTGATCGTCACACGAAACCCCCTAGACATGTTCCTGATTGGCAGTCGGGCTGTTCTTGACAGCACCAGGACTAGTAGCCGAATGATCAGTCATCGCTTCGTATGACGCGCACAATGCCATAAGATGTAAGGCAAGGCTCTGTTTCCTCTGTTGTCGCAGGAACGGTTAAACAAACAGTGTGCTAGTGGGTGCTTTCCTGCCCAAACTGAGTCAGACAGAACAAAGAAAAATGGAAACATGCATTATCTTTACCAACAGGAAATCTCTTCATTAGACCGTTCACAGTCATAGATGGCAATGTTGTAATACTCAAGCCATGAATTACCAAATGTCAGAAGAAGTCTAAGCACTACTTATCATTTGTTCTGGTATTTTCTGTCAATAAAGAAGTGTAGAAATCCAGAATCCCTGTGGCTTAAAGAATGCCAAAAATAACAGTCATACTTAAGCCACCAGTGTGCATTGGCCCTTTTCATTGTTTTAGGGGAGTTAGTGTTCATCCTCCTGCGTCCTCTATTTTTTTTAGGGATAATGAGTCTAGATGGTGGGCTAATGTAGCCATGTATCATTGCAGCACCTTGTTGAGAGGCAATTAAAGCTGTGTAAAGAACATAAAGACGGGCACCCAGATGCAAGGCAACAAATGATGTCTCTGAAATGGTGTTGATCCTCTCACTGTCAACCCTGTTAAACAGGACACAGAAGAGAGAGAGAGGAAGGAGGTGTGTGTGTGTGTGGGTCAGTTTGTTTGTCCGAGAAGGAGGACACACATGTTGAGTGGGAGGTTTGTGTGTGTGTGTGGAAGGGGGATGGGAGGTTGTCGTGGGTGTGAGATTCACCCTGGTGAGACTTTAGACATTCCTGACATTCCGACCTTCGGGATGCTTGAGGCGCCTCTGTCGTCTTCTAGCATGTCGGGGGCTGCAGAGGACTCTGGAGGGATTTTATGTCGCTAGGCTCACACCGGCAGGCCCTTTGGTTGAACAGAAACCACATACCCTCTAATTTAGGAGACCATGGGAACAAGTAGCACAGCACAAATCAGGTCTTCTTAAGTTACATCGGCGGAAGACACTTACGGGGGGTTTCATGATCCCTGAGACACTTGTCAGCCTGAACTTCCTCATCACTTTCTTTACGATTTCAAGAAAATGTCAAAGCTATTTCAACTTACTTTTTCTTGATTCAGAAAATAATACAGCTCGGCTGAAAAATAAAGGCAAAAAATTTTAAATTAATTGATCCAACTTTTTCTGTCCGATTCTAATACATCAACTCAGGGTCTATTGCAGATCTGATACCCACAGCTTTTTTTTAATCACATTTTTTTGGGGGCAAAAAACACTGAATTTTAATATGATATAAGCAAATACACTTTATTTACTAGGTTGGTCATGTCACAGCCGAAACCCAATCTGCTTTATAAGGTGGCGTATCAGATTTGTGCATCCCCAGACAAAATGAGCAGACTCTCAAACAGTTTGATGCTCTGAAAATCTGAATAGTTTCTGTAATTTACATGTGTGGAAGATGATGTGATGGGATGAAGTGGATTTTTAGACAGTTCTTATGTAATATAAGTAGTTTTACTGGGTAAAAAGACACGTGGGATTCTGATTCTGATACAATCTATGGCAAAAAAGTGATTAAATAAACATGACTTTATTCTTTTAACAATGTACCTCATTCTTCTCTCTCCTCTTCTTGTGATGTTGCAACCTTCTGTGGGCCAGCCATGACGGTTCATCCGGTATCTGCCACACTCAACCGCCGCTTCTGACCAAATCTGATTTAGCAAACCAAAGATGTCAGCGTGCAGCGACTTTGCAGAACACGTGTGGAAACCCGGCTCTTGCAAGAACTGCTTCCACCCGCTTAGTGCACACCACAAGACTGTCGGCGGCCTGGATGGCAGTGGGCCAGCCGCTTGTTTGAAGAGCATCCTGGGAGGCGATGAAGAATCTGGATTAACATCGCCTTCACCCTACAGCAAGCCAACCATCGCTGTCAAACCCACTATGATGAGCCTTGACACCAACGAGTCGATGACTGACGTCAACATGAACATAGAGCAGGTGATTCTCTTAAATGTCTCTTTCCTGTAACATACCTTTGAGTTTATTACTGCCCCAGCATGATGTACCTGTTCATTAATGTGTGCTCATGTTTATGTGTGACAGGAGAACACAAAGAGCCCAGTTGAGCGTATGGGCTTGAAGAAACTCTTGGACCTGTCGTCTCTTTACATTGATAGTAACGGCTGCAACAAGGCCCACAGAGAGGCCGTTCTTCAAAGTCCTGAAACCAAGATGGACTACAACAACTGCTTCTCCCTGGCTTCCTTATCCCCAAACATCCTGCCTAAAGACTCCATGATCATTAGCAATATCTTCGTCACCCAGGAGGAGGGTAGAAGTTCTCAGAGTTTAAAGATGAACGCCAATGGAGACATCTGTAGGGAGCAGAATACAACCACCACAAAAACCAAGAGCACTTATAATGGAATTAGTGTGACTGCCAGGGCAAATTGTCAGGAGTCCCATCTGGCTCCTGTGGAGATACCTTTTTCTGTGGATATCGTCACTTCCAGTCCTACTGCAGTTCATAGCAATGGTATCAGCTGTTGGAGTACTGCTGCTGTTACAACTAAGACATCCAGCACTTCTACTACTTTCCCCACCACAGCCTTGAGTGTGGACACCATTAGCTACAACCCTCCGCCATCCCTCCGCTCTCCTCCCGTCCTATCTGAGCAGACCAGACTATCGGACTCCTCTTGTTCTTACCGAAGTAGTACAGATTCACTTCCTGGGGCAGAGGGGTCCGGAGTAAGACAAGTTAAGTCAGGGAGCCCCCAAAGTCCAACGGCCATGGGTGGCTTACAGTCAGCTCCCAGCTCTCCTAATGAAGACTCAGAACCCATTTATGCACAGAGCACCAAGAAAAAGCGCAGGCCACAAGGAAATGGGGTGCAATCCCATCTTGTGTCCCCAAACCAGACTAAGAACTCATTCAAGGGCTCTGAGCTGTCAGGAGAGAGTCAACGGGCCACCATCACAGTAATGGCCGCTCACACAGAGGAGAACAGGACTTTCTACCTGAGCAGCCCAGATTCAGCCATCAGCACCCAATGCCACTTCAGCCCCACAGCACGTAAAGACCCCAGCAGCCCGGCTTTCCACTGGCCCAGTCCCAGCCACAGCGCATCCTCTTTGGTCCCAGAAGCCAGCCTTACACCAACTCTCCACCCCAAGCCTCAGTCCAGCCCACCCATTCCCCCGAAAAGGAGCACCCGTTCCCCGAAACTGGGCGCCTCCAGCCTCTCACCGTCCTTCTCTTCTCCAGTCCCTCTTCCTGATCTCCCCAGACTGGGCAACTCTAGCCTCTCACCGTCCTTCTCTTCTCCAGTCCCTCTTCCTGATCTCCCCAGACTGGGAAACTCTAGCCTCTCACCGTCCTTCTCTTCTCCAGTCCCTCTTCCTGATCTCCCCAGACTGGGAAACTCTAGCCTCTCACCGTCCATCTCTTCTCCCGTCCCGCTACCTGAACTCCCCATGCTTTTCCTCGTCTCTGCTAGAGAGGGCCACTTCAAGGTCCATACAGAGAACCACAGTGCAGTAGTGTCTGAACGCTGGCACAAGCCCCACCACCACAATTCTGGCTGGAACTGTCGCATAGAGGAAGAAGAGGAGGAGGATGAGAGAGAGCCGAAAGAGGGACAGAAGAAGAAGTTGGCTGCCAACCCGGGGACAACCTCTAGGGTGACAGGCTTGGTAAATGGTGGTGCTGTCTGGAAGGAGGCCATGGACTCGAAGGCCCACAGCAGCCCCCCTCCGATGACAGAGCCAGGCACGGCCCCCCCAACTGCGCCCAACAATGGTGCCTGTCAGGGGGAGACTGAGGGCACCGGTGCAGAGGAAGAGGGCAAGCATAACGGGAGCATGCCGTCCAAGCAACCGTTGCATGGAGGCTCATCAGAGCTGCTGGCAGCAGGAAAGGGAGCTGCCAACAATGAGCCCAATCCACCGCCTCCCCCACCCAAGAAACTGCACAGGTAAGAATAACAGAGAACTTTTTGTCTGGCTTTTATACATTCAATTATTAATCTTCATATAGGTTAGAACACTACCTACTGTATTTGGGTAGGACTATGTTTCAATCCCAGAAAAATATATGAAAATGTTATTAATCTTTTTCAGTCAATCACCTTGTCAGTCAAATGTCAGAAGTTATGACAAAATGGCAATTAGAAGTAAGTGGAGGTGTGAGGCCTAAACATTGTTGAATCAGTTTGACCAATCGACACAAACCATCAAGGTATTCAGTTTACAATATGAAGTATTGAAAAGTAAGCGGTTTATGGTAATTACGTTTTTTGGAATCTCTGACCACTCTATGACGAGTATTTTAGGACTTAGATGATGAAGCCTTTACTAATCTCACCATCGTCATTCAGCTTCATAAGTTAGTTTTTCTTCGAGATTCAGCAACAATTTTATATGCCATTTATTTTTTCAAAACTTTCACAGTAAATACACCAGCAATCTCAAGAAAGGGTTGGTCTTAAATATTGTTTATAATACGGCAGCTATGTAAAAGAAAAAGTCTAATAGAGGTTTAATTACACACTAATATACTGAGCACTTGCTGTAAGATGAATGCTGTGCATGTATCAAACTTGAACTGCCCATTATAGCACATATTTGCATGCCTGTCCTTCAGTCTTACCTTGCATGAGAACTAATGGGACTGTAATTTAGCCATGGCACTAAATTCTATAATTCATCACTTTCAACATGCACTTAGTCTAAATGCATAACTGCATATGTGCTCTCAGATGGGACTGTATATGTATATAGCGTTAGTGCTGCTGATGGAATATAAGCTATACTATATTGCCTGAGTCTCTGCACATATATGCATCTTACTGCAGTCATCTGTGTAAACCTCACTGTGCCTTCCCCCTTTCACAGCACCATTATTCAGCCTTGAATCAGCCTCCATTCTTGCAGCTTGTGATCATTCAAACTGTTCCGGCACATTCCTCAATGCATGCCTTGTTCTATTCATGCCAGTAATGTGACTTTTTCCAATTCTAATTGACACACAAATGGATCTGTTAAATAGTCCCGTGCTCTGTCACATTGCAGTCTATTTGTTTTGGCTGCAGCACAATAAAAAATGATCATACAGGGACATAGCTGTCACTTGCTGCATCTTTGGCCAAAAGAAATATCATATTTGCACTGTTTGCATGTGTATTTTCAATTCTTGATGTTCACGTCCTGGTTATTTTTAATGCTTAGTAACAATATTTAATTACATCACTTACAGGAAGTGCAGAATCGTGCATTTTCGAGACCTGCACCATTGTGACCTACTCTACTCAGGGCCCCTAAGCCTACATAGTCATTTATTAGCAGTACCATTTGCTTTAACCTGAGTCTGCATGAGGCTAAGAATACACTCCGCTGTCTGAGTCAGCTACACCAAAGCAGAAACAGAGAAGAGGCCTTGTGTTGTTTCAGTTATTAGAGCATCAAATGATCTCCTCAAAATACAATTTGCTCTGTCTGAGACGACATGATGAGGTGTAACACACGACTGTGACTTCCTCGGGACAAACGGATGTTCTGTCATCTTGAGCTGCTAGAGTCAGCAAAAGCTGAGTGGGAGTGTTGTACAGTCAATAACACAGATTGCTGATCACATGTCAAGGGCCCTTATGTTTGTGGTAATTGTAGGAAGGACTATCTCTCCTGTTATGACATTGCCAACATACTACGCTGATAAAAATACACCTTGTTGTGACACATGTGGGATCACGCCTCGAGCCAGCCAGCGACAGTTGTGGCTTTCCATGTGTATACGTGGGTTTAGTGTATTTAATCAACAAGTGTGACCAAAGTGCTGCAGAGAACCAGAATCTAAATCTGCATACAGATTGTATTATTGAAGAATAAAATAATCTCGTGAGTGGAAAATGGAATGGAACCCCGTGAAGCAGCATTTGGATATGCTTAATCATTTAAAAGCCACAGATGGTTGGAAAAGTCTGCCTCCCAGAGCCTTTGATCACAGTGGAAAACACCAAATGTCCACTCTTTCATCCCTCGGAACAGGTCAACCTACATTTGATGTGGTGGGTCAGCCTAAGGTGTGTTTGTGCATGTACCTAAATCATGCACGTGTGTGCTAGTACTTTTTAGAAGGCATGTCCACTCCACCGGTCATTGAAGGTTGCCAAAGGGAGGGGCTTCAGTGAACAGATTGTTGCCCCTGGCAACTCCCAAAGTGTCCCTGTCTGGAAGTCGGTTGCCATCGATAGAAGTAGAATTCATAGATCAGCCATGTGGATTCAAGTCCACTGAGTTTGACTTGGGTTTGAATTGCCTTTTGCTCTTTTTACTATCGTTCCAAGGCGCGCCGCCCCTCCCTCCACAGAGCCGTCCTGATCCCGTCTGTGCAGCAGAACAGATAGCATCTTGTTGCCGCCTGAAGTGAACCACTAGGTCAATGAGTGAATGCTATATATGAGATATGGGTGCTTACATTTTGCACATCTAATGGGTGCTGTTGCTTTTCCTGCTGAGAGGGACTTTAAATACACATATGACTCGTGTGGAGCCAGGGTTGTGTTACTACACATGGCGGGGCTTTAGAGAGCCGCCAGTCTGATCCAGGGGCAGTTTGTGCCGGCCAGCCCGACAAGGACCTTTGCCTGTCCAGCATGAGGTAGGCACCTTATGGCATCTTTTTTCTCATCCTCAGTAGGTATTGACTTCGCATCTATCATTAGACTTGTGAAGAGAAGTGGTTACGTTTTTGTTCGCGCAGGAAAATTGACTCAGACTTTGTATGCGTTTCACGAAGAAACCCCCCCCCCCCTCTCTTTCATCTCTTCAAATCCTTTTCTGCCTAAATTATGTTATTGTTTGAGTCCATACTGTTGGTAAGACTAAAATATTTGTAAGATGAAGACGGTTGAAGTGAAACTGAAACTCAAAGTGTGTTACTTAATGTGATGTCGGGCAAATAAATGAAAGTGCCTTGTACCTCATTAAAGGGGTTTTTAGGGGGAGTTTTTCCTGTACCGATGTGAAGGTCCCGGGTTAGAGGATGTCACATGTGTGCAGATTGTAAAGCCCTCTGAGACAAATTTGTGATTTGTGATTTTGGGCTAGACAAAATAAATGAAAGTGTCTCGTACTGAATAAGGGAAAGAGATAGCTGACAGTGGAGAAGATAACAAGGCAAGGCTGGAGCCGTTTGCAAAAGATAAAAGGATTGGTGTCAACCATTAATGGATCTGTGTTTCAAAGACATGGTTTATACGGCTATACAGCCACGGTAACTATCCTACAATCATGGGAAAGAAACCGTGCATCTCATTGTTCGCTGCAGTGGGTTGTTACACAGAGGTTGCAAATTAACACAAAAACACATGCACGATATAATGCAATCCAATATAGCAGCAATGCAATAAACAACACCTTTTGTCAGTTTGTATGACAATGATGATAAGAATATGAAATACAGTTCAATCAGTTCCTCTCTGTCTCAACAACAACTCAACATTGTAAGCTTCTTAAAGGTTGTGTATGTTGCATGACTGTTGTAGGGGATTGGTTTACATTGTACAGGTGTTAATGATACCGCCTACACCCGGGTACGTTCTGAGTTTGCCTGCTTTCATACCTGACTCCACCTCATTTTAACAAAACCCTGAATTGCGTATCAACATGAATGTGTTGGCTGTTTGTAGGTTTACAGTTTTTATCCCCATCGCTCTTAATGCTGTTTAACCATCTTAGATTTTGACTTTCACGAAAAGATTATTGTCTCGACATAAAATAGCCCTGGAGAGAGAACGTGTGGATGTAATGACATACAGTACTTTGTCATCATTTTATATATTTACAACGGAGAAGGCCCTAAATAAGAGTCAGGAAGTGAAACCGGTCGTGTGAACCTGATCCACAACAACACTGCAGCTTAGTTTGGGTCTCATTTTACACCGTCGCACTGCTATCTGTAGCTAGTTAGCTGTAACCACAATCCGATCCCTTTTTAAAAACTCCCCCAGATCCCTTCACACAGCTTTATTAATACCACACACACACACACACACACACACACACATGTCGGGATAGCATGTGTGCCAACAGATCCTGTGTGTTAGTAACCCAGATTTAAAATGTAAACAAATCAAGCTACAGTGAATGTCGTTGCTGGGCTGATTGCAGAACGTGTGACGGGTTCGCGTAGACTTTGTTTTTGCAAAGGAAGTGTTTCAATCTATTCTGAGGAAATGAGCAATTAAGACGTTTATTAATAGACGTTTAGAATAAAACATTCCAAGTAGAGTGGGAAAATCATTTTGATACTGTCTCCATCGTGATTAGTCAATTAGTCCGTCAACAGAAAATGAATTGCAAATATTATGGTAATCGGCTAATTAATTCCTTGTCTGACATTACAATAAAGAGAATATATTTGGGTTTTAAATCGTTAATCAGGCAAAAACATTTAGGTTATTTGAAGATTTCATCTTATGCTGGCAGATGGGCATTCTTCACTCTTTTCTGACCAAACAAGAATACAATAATCTGATTATATAAAGAAAATAATTGTCCCTAAATGCTTGTATATTCTTACACGCAGTCCTAATCCGCTCCAAGGTCTTTTTCGCATGCCCTTGCTCAGAAGGCTCATTCATCCGTGCACATCCTCCCACAGTACATAAGCAATGACATTCTTTCACCGAAGGAAAATCTCATGTTTTGGATACAAATCTGAAGAGATCTGGAGTGAGACATGCACAGGCGCACACATGCACATAGTTCCAGCACCCATTGCAATTTCTCCTCTGCCTCAGCGTTTCCACTGCCTTTCATCGCCGTTCCTTTGTCTGTAAAATGATAGCGGATCCTTTAGCTAACTGCCCACGGAGAATACCTAACCCTCTGTCTCCCCCCCTGTGTTCCCCTCCTTTTCTCCTCCTCAGCTGTTTGTTCTGCTGATTTATGGTGGAATTGAAATTGGGGGGCCAGCAGATAATCAGTAATCAGTCATTTTTGCGATGGAAGAGAGGAAAGAGAGATAAAGGGATGGGATGAGACCCTTCTTCCCTGAGCCATTAGCGCGTATAATGAGACAAGTGAATGGCTGTCACTCAGCCTAATTGGTCACCTTGATTAGGAAGTCTGCTCATGCACAGGTTTCATTGGTATTATAAGTGGCTATCATGCTGGTCAGGCAAACTGAACAAGAAGAATGCAAAGCTTCTTTCTAGCAAGTAAAAAGAAATCACGCAAGGTTGTGTAACTTTTGAAAGTAGAAATAACACAATCTTTCTTACAAATGAAAAATTGCATTCATAAGCGTAAAAACACACCCGTACTCAATTCAATACACTTATAGGTTTTGCTACCAAAGCTTTTTAAATGTTTTTGTGGTACACTATGCACTTATCTAAAGTCTGTAGTAGAGAAATGACAGGAAACAAAGGGAGAGAGGGATAGGAAATGGCATGCAATAGAGGTCCACCAAGGCCACCCATAGGCCATCAGATCACCCTGCAGCATTACTTGGTCTTGTATAGGGAGGGGTGTAACAGTTACAGCTTTCACAATACACCACAGTAACTTTCCAATTTTAACTATCATTAAAACTGTGAAAAGAGAGAGAGAGAGTGAGAGAGAGAGATAGAGAGAGAGAGAGAGAGAGAGAGAAAGCATAACTTGCAGCACAACTTGATGCAGTTTTTTTGTTTTTTTTCACGCATTCTTATGCCTTATTAAAACCTGGCACCTACATTACTCACAATGAAACTCAAGAGCTGACAGTTTGGTTGGGTGTGTTGGGCTGGTAGTGGATAGTGTAGATATTCTTAGGAGCGGGCTACATAAATCGGTTCAGCTCACTTCTTTCTATCTCAACACCCCCAGATTTACTTTTCATTTTCAAACACTTGAGACAATTTATCAGCAATCAAAAAGATATATACAACTTTTTTAATTGATGCAGGAATACTCCCCAAGACCTGTGAGCAGACTTCGATGTATAAAATTGTTGTAGTTCCCTTTTTAAAGCAACAGATTCCAGGGTATCTTGGGAAATGCACCAATATCCTGCAATTGCCACTTGTGGCCACATTGTCCGGTGTCACAAAAGTCACGGTCTCACTTTAGGGCCATATATGACGACTGAGATATAGTACTTACTTACTTAGTACTTACTTATAGTTTACCGTTATCGGAAACAAGCGAAACTGCTAAATCTGGCAGACCGATATTGATTTTAGTAAGGCTTGTTTGTTGCAGTTAGAAATCAACACAAAATCAAGAAGTGTACCTCTTGAATTAGGAAGTGAAACTAGTCCTGATGGTAGTTGTTTGTCATTTAAAAAGAGGCAGTGTGCACTGCATAGTGCAGATAAGAAAACATCAAGGGGAAGTGGAGTGGTTTCACATTTACGAACGGATGCAAAAAAGAAAAGGTTGTATTTCAGCAGAAAACCTGCAGACTGAACTACCAGTGGATGCTACACTTGGCTAGGTGGATGTTTGGCAATGATGTCAGCAATGCAGACACGGAAAATGGATGTTTGTATCTTGTTCGTGCCATCTTATTCACTTACCCCGTTTCTGCTGTTTTCTCCATCAGAGTGTGTGGTAAGATGAGTGGCAGCAACATGGAGCTGGATCGCTGCAGCCAACACGGGTCAGCAGACAGCCCTACTTCATCTCTTCGGGGCTTGGGCTCCAGCCTATCCACTGCTTCCACTGACAACCTGACTGGGGACACTGGTAAGTAACACTCACACATATTTCATTCATGCTCCAATAGAAACGTGCACTTGGAGTCCGAGGACCACACATGTCTGATACAGTATCTGATAAAGCAAATAATTGTAGTTCATTGAGCAAGTTAGGTGCTTCTTCCACAGCTTTTACAGACGTGTCCTTTGGTTTGTTTGCCTGCATGTCAACTGTCTTGCTGTTCAGACGCTGTATCACAATGTTCGACCATGAAGATGCCCTTTGTCACAGTGAAAATGTGCAACAACAATGAAAAGAGGAAAGGGAGCGTTGCAGGGTTGAACAGCAGTAAGCAGCCTGTCAGCTTATCTCTTCTCTTCCTCTTTTGTGACGTACACTCATAGTTTGTTTTGACACGGGGTTCATTTTCCTGACGTGAGTTCCAGATTTCTGCAATCAAGTGACTCAGAATGAGTGGCACGAGTCCTTGGTTTTGAAATTATTGTCAACCTTCACATATCCTCTGTGGCACAGACACTTGTAATTGCTGTAACTTCCTGGGCAATGTTGTTTGAAGAGATAATTATGGACTCTGATAACGAGGGAAAAAGGGCTTGGCTACATCCTACAGAGTACTTTTCTTTTTTTCTTTCCTTTACAGTCTTCTCCCTCTGTGAAAGCAGTTATTGAAGACCGCACCACACAATTATCTCGGTATCTGTCTCCTCTAGTGTAATGTCAAGTTCTTACTTTAAGTCTTTAATTAACAAATGGATCGTAATTGGATGGAAGATGTTTTGAGTGTCAGCTTGAACCCTGGATTGTGGAAATTTCCAGCTGTTTTGAGGCAAAGAAGGTATGTGTTCGTGCTCAGGCTGAGCAGCAGGCAGTGACAGAAGACGTGTAGTAAATAAATCAAATTCACAGCCGTCGCCCAGGAATATGAGAGTCTGTGAGTACTGTGAGGTTACAGGGACTTCACTCACAAGCCCACTGAGAAGTGAAGGATATATTGTGTAACTGAATGGTCATTGGTCTCTATCTGTATGTCTTTATGTGTGCATATTTCCTAAATCTGTTTTGATTAAGCTGTAGAAAATATTTTGTTACCTTCGAACAGGGCCAGGCGAGTTGTTACCATCTGTACTGTTTCTTTGTCTTTATGCTATGCTTTGTGAAGCTAAGATATCTGATTGCTGGTTGTAGCTTCATATTTGGCGTACAGACATGTATCAATCTTCTCATCTACACTTACTTTCATTGTAAGCAGACTTGCTGATGTCATTTCTTTTTCTCTTCTTAGGTTATCGGGATGCTACACGGATGTCTTGTTCTTCTCCATTTTCCAGAAGTCCAGTGGCCTCAGCTCCAGGATCTCCACACCCGCCCTCCTTTACCACCTTAAGTAACCAGCCACCTCCACTCCCGGAGAAAAAAATGGTCAACCGCACCGTGTCAGCTCCCGATAGCGCCAACGGAAGACCCTTTGTCCGAGCCTACCCACGACTCCCGTTCACTGGCTCGGAGAGCAACGTGTGTCGACCTGCTGATGTCAGCTCCCGCTCCAGTTTACCGTCCAGCCCTGTTGACCCACGCCCCATGTTCTCTTCCAACGAGTGTCTGGAGCATTGCCATGCCCCGCTAAGCCGACCCTCGAAGTCCCGGACACTGGATGAGCCGCTGAAGACTCACGGGCGTCTGGGTGTCCACTGCCGAAGCAGCGTCACCTGCTCCTCTTCCCCGCAACTCAGCGTGCCCTTCTCGTCCTCAGAACCGGGTTCTACACCAAATTTGGGCTCTAGCCTGCAGCTCCAGACCCTTCTGAGTAACATAGACAGTAGGGAAGGAGTGTACTCCAAACTGGGAGGCCTGTACGCTGAGTCTCTGCGCCGCTTGGCTCTAAAATGTGAGGATCACTTCACGCGCTCCCAGAGGAACCCACTTAGGTTTGAGGAGAGCAACTGGTCTCTGTTCAGGCTCACCTCCAACAAGCCAAGCTGCAACTCAGGAGATGCTGTGTACTACTCTGCTGCCTGCGCCTCAGACCCCAGCAACTCCTACGCTGTAAAGGTAATCCCTAAATACTAAGCCTAAAGTATTTTATACAGGGCATTTGTGAAATATGCGTTTGGTATAACCATGTTCACTTCCAGAACACCTTATTGTTATAATCCTTAATATTTTTTGTCCTGATTCATTTGGCTGTAAACTTTGGTTATTGGGAGCAAATGCAGTGTTATACTGCAGGTCCCAGAATTCTGAGGGGAGCAAACACTCTTTGAGTTGCTTCTTTACCGGAAATACAACAATATTATCTATTTACAGCACATCCAAATTAACCTTTTTAGTTTGAAGTAAGATATCGCTCAATTATTAGTCCTTTTCCATCGTGCCACGGACAACCGTGAGTAGTATTAAGTGGTTTTGTAATGTACAGATCGGGTTTATTCTGTCCGCTCAGAGAGGTTGTTGTCAAAAGACCAACTCTCAGCCCACTCAAGATCATCTTTACTGTTGTTTAAGGAATCATTTGCTCAGTGGGTGAGTGTTGTAAATTGATATTTTAAGCAGGGATTTGACAGTTTTAGGACAGGAGGAGGAGATTAAAACTGGGCGGTGGTCTTGTTTGTTCTTAGACTACAGATGGGATGGTCCCACCACAGCACAAACCTTCAGGGCATGTAGTGTAAACAACTAGGAAGAACGGTGTGGAGTCACACACTCGCTAACCTTTGTCCCAAAGTCATTAGTGTTGTACAAAGCAGCAGCTGTTTGTACAGTATGTGTTGTGCCACAGCGTGGGTTGCCCACAGTCTTGCTTAATATCTCTAGGCCCAATTAATCTTTACATTCCAGGCAGGATTTACAGTCAGACAAACCCCTGTTGTTAAGGCCAGCACACACACAAACCCAATGCACACCATGTAGAATGAGCCCATTCAGCACAAAGACAGATTATCATGTTATAAACTGAATTCAGCATTGAATGGGGTTAGACGGAAGTGTAGTAAGTGTTTGTGTAACTTCATTAATTGTTGTTTGATGTGCTTACCGTTGTTTTGCTGACTGAAAGATTCAACTCCAAGAAAGTGGATTTGTGTCGATAATCACTAACAAGAGCTTATAATAATACATCTGACCCCAACACACACTGAGATTTGTAACATGTGCAGGTCTGTTTCCGAATTCAGATTTTAGTGTTGGGGAATTTTCCCACAGCTTGCAAGAGAATGAAAGACACTGAAGTGACGTGGTAGTTTACTTAAAACACAAGTTCAGCTTTTCTAATCTTTTCAGTTGAGGATTGGGTTTAAATCTGCGTCATAGATATTGGTTTCACTTGAATGAGAGCAGGGACTGAATTGACGTTGACCTTGGAACCTCACTAACAAGAATTCCTTTCTTATGTTTCTTGGCTCCACTCCCTTCCCGTCTCTGTGTGGGGAATCCCCCCCCCCCTTCCTTCCCTTTCTTCTCCTTTTCTTAATCCTTTCCTCCCACTGATCTTTGTGTTTATACCTCTCCAGATCTCCAAGAGTCCATCCATGGAGGCCAAACAGGGCCATCTCTACGGTCTTTCAGTGCAGCAGAGCATGCCTCCCCACTTCAACGTCCAGCAGGACTGCGGACACTTTCTCGCTTGCGTCCCCCGGAGCATGCTGCCTTCTGACGAAGTCTCTCTGCCCAATACCCCTGCATCATCGCTGCCTCAACCCTCCATGTCTGCGCCCGTTCAACAGGTAGAACGAGAGCGAGTGGTGGTTATCACCTCTGAGATCCCTCGGCAGACGGCAGCTGACTTTGTAAGGGAGTGGGCTGCATTCCATAAAACTCAGCCAGAAGTCTACGAGCGCCGTGTATGTTTCCTCCTCCTGCAGCTCTGCCACGGCCTGGAGCACTTGAAGGAGCACGGGGTCACGCATCGCGACATCTGCCTCGAAAACCTGCTGTTGGTGCCTCACCTACGCAGGCCCTCCAAGTTCCCCCAACAAACCACCACGGACAATGGCACCAGTAACAGTTCAAGTGGTGTAGACAGTCAGCGACACCTTCCCCGGCTCCTCATCAGCAACTTTGCTAAGGCCAAGCGTCGCTCCCCCGAAGACGCTGCCTCAACCAGTGTGGACCCTCGCATCAAACGTGACCATGCCAGATTGGCGCCCGAGATCCTCTCAGCAGCCCAGTACCGTAAATTTGACGAGTTCCAGACAGGCATCTTGATCTACGAGCTCCTCCACCAAGCCAACCCATTTGAAGTGAGTCCAGCTCTGAAGGAACAGGATTACCGCTGTGAAGAGTTGCCACCGATCCCTTCCGTCTCCCTGTACTCTGCCGGCCTCCAGAGGCTGGCCCAGCTCCTGCTTCAACCTGACCCCATCAAACGCATTCATATCCAGGAGGCCAAGCGCATACTGCAGAGCCTGCTCTGGGGCCCCAGGCAGGACCTGATGGAGCAGCAGCGGGAGAGGCATGCACAGGGGGTCGGCTTTGTTGACGGAGCCCGGCACGAGGGCCTCCTGAACTGGCTGGATGTGAAAAGGGCCCTGCTGATGATGAAGTTCGCAGAGCGTTCACTGGAACCCGAGAGGAACGCGGAGCTGGAGGACTGGTTGTGCTGTCAGTACTTTTCCTCGGCTCACCCTCTGTCTCTCTGCCATACTGCTGAGCTGCTCTACTCGCTAAAGTGACGGCTTCCTTTCGGGTTAAACATGTGTGTGAGTGGAGCTGAAGTTATGTGTGAATGAGTGAACGAGAGCGACCAATCATTTCAGTTAAGTTATGTGTCTAGACGCTATGAATGGGAGATACTGTGAACCTAAACCCACCTGTTTGCGCTACTGCTGCTTGCATGAGAGCCGTGCACCAACCTAACCGTCCACTCTACCTTTTACACAAACAGCATCGTGCTACAGACTGTCGACTTAGCAAATAAGTGACCTGTGAACATTCAGCTGTTTTTAAAATGTTCTTGCGACAGTCACAGCTATATGGACAAACTAATGAAAAGATTAACTTAGCGACTGGAAACGCTTTGTGCCAGTGATGCATCCATCTGTAAAAAAGGAAGCATATGAAGAGTATTCGTAACCCTATAATACACTTACCAAAGTTCCGTGTATGACACTCTATTGTGTGTATTTATTAAATATCAATTATGACATTTTACCCACTGAGAGCCGGCTAATAATTCATAACCGTATTCTGTTAGCTTTGAACATAATGCTGCGTCGTATCTACGTAACTGTGCAGCTAACTTTGAGTTTTAATAGAAATATGAGGTTACTAGCAGACTTACACTGTTGCACCTTTTCCGTCATGTTTATTCATGTATTCACACACAGTCCTTGTTTGACAGCATTGCATAATAAAGACTTAGTATGAATTTATCATAAGCCGTACTGTCTAACAACTCAATATTAATTGGATCGACAAAACAAGTGGCAACGTTAGAAATAGCTTCTACTGAATGGATGCCCGGTTTTTCCCTACGCTTTTAGTATATATTTAAATGTTTTTACATTTGTAACAGTGCCTTTTGTTCTTTGTATGTTACAGTGACACAGAAGTCAAATGTAAATATTACTGATCATTCGTCCTTTGTGAAACTGGCCTTTCACCGAATGTTCTAGAAACACCTTTGTACAGTAATTTTATATGATATTAGGAGAAAAATGAGCCCGAGCTGGTCTTAATATGAGCAGGAGTTACAAAATATTTATGATACAATTTGCTATCCTGTAGTAGTCACTGGAATTTCTCTGTTTATTTTAATATGTGGATTATCAAGGCTTGTTTGTTTTTTTTGCCTCTTGTAAACTTCAAGTTCATGAGTATTTTATCTCCAACAAAAGAATTCTTAATAAAGTCAAGAATTTAACAGCCTGCACCAGGTTTTCGTCCATGACTGACTGATGTTTCTAATGTTGCAGAGAAGAAAAGCATGGCCAGATCTCACCACTATACATTGTTGATTTTTATTTGTTGTGTGTGCCTCACCTATTTGCAACTCTCAATAAACTGTGCATATATTTTCTCACAGTATTAGCTGGTGTTTGGGTCTTTTTTGGATGCGTTCCCTTTATGGATTGGGCCACTAAGGGCTATAGTTGTTATGTTAGCATTACCTCTGCCTCTGCTGTTATTTCTAATGAATGCAGGCAAAAGATTTCAACTTTTAGACATAAATTCCTTGGATATGAAAATGAATGTATTCTATTTGCTGTCTTAATAACTAGAGATTAACAGGAAATGAGGGCTTGATTGGATACAATTCCATACAAAGTAACGTATTCTTTATGTTTCTTGTCATACAATATTTTCCATTGTAGAATTCGCTTTTGCTCCAAAGTACATTATGCAAGGCAGCACTGTGTCTCTTTTGAAATTTGTGAATAAACATAAACTACAATTCTACTTCTTTGTGTGAGGATTAAAGCAATTTAGGCAATTTTCAAACTGAAAGAAATATAAACGGCAACAAAAGTAACAGAAGAGGAATAAACTCTAGTCAGCTGAAAGAGAAGCGTTTGCTGTTGTAGGGGAGACATAGAGCGCATAGCACGGATCAACACAACAGGTTGTACGTGTAGTTGCATCTCAATTTTGAGTTTGGAGCCTCAGGCCAAAACTAGACCCCAGACTTCCAATCCCTCCCCCAGTGTTACCCCCCCCACCCCCACCCTTGTAGCTTTCTGCTTCACATCACTCTTTCAAAACCACTGGCTGCTCCCTTGTCATAGGTGGAACTATGTTGCTATGGTGTTTTGACCAATGGAATGGCATTTCCAGGAACGCAGTCAGTCTCTGTCTCCCTCTTTCTCTCAAACACACACACACACACTCACCGAGTGAAGCAGCCTGTTGAGCAAGAATCCAAATAACCCCCTGGTAACAACAGCAAGGCTCCCTCCTTTGTTTGTCCAGTGAACACCGGTCAGGAGGATGCATACTTGATTTGATCAAATATGCATCCCAGCACACCGTCTTCAGCAGAAGATCTAACAAGACAAAAACAAACAAACACAACATACCAAAACTCCTCACTACTAGAGAATGAATATGGTGTAAATGCTACTGCTGTGGGACATAGAGGACAGTTAAACTTACCGGTTATTGCTGCCTTACCTGCTTGCCATTGCTCCTTAATTCCAGGGATGGATGGCCAATCATAGACAAAGATATACAATGTAAAGACATCTTAAGTACACAAACGTAATGACAGTGCCCCCACCCCACCATAAAGTCACCACTTTGCATCCAGCCATAATTAACTAGTAAATATCATGACTATTACATCTTTCTATACCATCTGTGAATACTACCATCTCCCGCTATTGCATCTATCCAAAAAGTGCACTTTAAATGACTGGGAATGGACATATTTAACCTGTACTTATCTATTCACCCCACTACCAGTTTGGATATTGTTGGCTGGCTCAAAGTTACCAGCCAGGCCATTTCCATTCACATAATTAAAAGCACAGCTAGTGGCTGATTTGACAGTAACCCTGGAGTGCTCCTGCTCCGTCAGTTCAACAGAACCATTAGTGTGCTCACTTAACACTGGGGAGTATGTCCAAATGAAGGTCAATGGAGATGTAGGGCAGCTAGCATTGTCCTCTGTCTGTCTCCTAGCTCTTCTGGTTCCATGTTTGACCTCGTAGCCTGTTGGTTCCTGCTCAATGCTGTTTGCAACAATTTTCCCACTCAGGTGAAGCACTTACTTTTGCGGCATGACCTGCAACAGCATGCTTCACTCCTTGGCTTCTACTGTATGTTTAGACTCTGGGTGGGTTAGTCCCTTTACCACAAAACATAAGCTCGAAATCTGAAGCCATGGTAAAAGATATTTTGACATGTCACAATAAAGAAAAAATCAATAATGGCTGAATTCCATTTAGCTGCTTTAGTTTCAGTCTCGGTATTGTGCATGCTGGCTTACTGGTGCACTTAAATACCACAGAGCCATAGAGTGCTTCAGGGATGACGCATTTGTGTAGACCAACCCTGGAAGCTAGCATCGCGCGGATCCCCTTGACAAAAAGCCAATGGGATTTTTCCATTGGCTTTTTGATTATTGCAGAAAACAAGCTCTGTGGCAAACACAAGTTTATGATACTTACACAATTTGTTCAGCACAATAATCTTCACAATTGAGCACCACTTTCATGATTATTAAAGTGTAAATTGGCAAAACAAAGAAGCCAACGTTAGGCAATAAATAAACTATACCACGGTTACATGAGCGCGGGTTTTACGACTTATTCCTGCAGCATTCTATTGTTAATGTTATGAGTAACACCTCTTATTTACATGCAAGTTAACATTTGTGCCACGTTCCACATTGATTCACAGGTGTTCCAGGGGCACCACAGGGTCTTATCTTACCAATCCAGGAGCACTGTAGGGCTCGATAGCGGCTAATCAGGAACAGAGGACTTGATGGTTTGCACTTCCTGACCTCTGTATGTCCTTTTTAAATCAGTCCATGAATGTATTCTGTCCCAATGGCACTCTCTTACCATGCTTTTGTGACACTGCAACAATAAGGTCCATTAATCTTTAATAAAACAGAAGGCAGCCTTACCACTAGTAGAAGTAATTGTCTAATCAATAACCCATGGTGGAAGTGGAACACTGTAGACAGCCAAGCTTCATTGAGGCCTGTTGTTTTAGTGTTTGAAGGGTGCCGGCATGTCTCACAGTTATTTTTTTTATGTCTCTAAAATAAACATTACACGCCAGAACATTTCAATATATCTCTGCAAAAAATGCCTAAATTCTTAACTTTTTTTTTTACTTTTAAAAGTCGAACTACAACGCAACGGTCTTACGCAGTAGTAGAGTATTGGTTACAGTGGAACAGTCCCAATATATTTCTGGTAGTATTTTGACATCTAGTGGATCAATTCAATACTACATTCAGTTTGCAAGTTGTTGCAGCATTTTCTCCCAACTCCGTAGAGTACGGTGATCCAAATGTAGTTTTAAATGAAAATGTGGTTGGTTTCTACATTTTTTTGCCATAGTACAAAAATACTGAAAAAATAATGTGTTAGTTTATTAGTTGTGTACATTTAATACTGATTGTGGTACGATTAGTGCCTTTGTCATTATGAAACATTAGCACCTTTAACATTGAATTCTTTGTCAGCGTTTGCAAAAAGTACCAGAGTTCTATGACAGCTTCAATGTCAGCTTGAATCAAACTTTTAAGGTTTTTGTTATGAAATCCTGTGATACAGTGGCCACAAATACACACCCAGAAAAGTCACGACCTGCCAAACTTTATTTTTTAGATCAAAGCGAAGCACAGTATTAAAAACATTTCAACACTGTTATGACATCCACTCACTGTCTCAAGTGTGTGAAAAAAAAAAGATGCAATCAAGCACTTTTGGCTTAACATCATGCTCAGAATTAACATGAGTCAAACTAGTTTGTTTGGTCATGAAAAATAATTCTACTTTTTAAATGAGTTTACGTTACTATCAAAAAGTTGAATCGATCATGCCAAAGCAGACTTAGGTGAAAAGAAGATTCACAGAACTTCGAGTGTGTGACGTTCAATCAATCATTTGATTATGTGGTCAAGAAACTGTTTCGGTATGCAGCCTGTAATGCAGTGGCGCACCAGGTCCTCAGGCAGGACACAGGTGAGATCAGCCCAGGTAGAGGGAGGGAGGGAGGGGGGAGAGTTTTTGAGGGTTCTTGGAAGTGGGGTTGGGAAAGAGTTTGTGTTTCAGAAACAGGGAAAGGTGGGATTTGGGAGGGCTGATTTCGAGGCTTTGTTTTCACTTCTTCTTGGGTTTCTCCTCCAGTGGTAGGCCAATATCCCTCCCACGCAGTTTCAGCCCTGTTCATGACAGAAGATGAATAACAGTTACGTATTGCAACACCAGATTCTATGAGTATAGGCGTAGCCCTCTAGGAGCTGTTGCTAATGGGTTCAGCCCTGCGTACATGCACAGTCATTTAGATTTTTTTGCACACTTGTGCCCCGCACGGACCTCTGTTACGTACGAACTTGCGAAAAAAAAAACGGCCAAGTGACCACAGTTCTGCTGCTTCAGCTGGTGTAGATGGAGCCAGAGGGGCCCACAGCTTAGACGGCTATACTCATAGAATCGGGAGTTACAATACGTAACTAACAGTCTATATTATAAGAGCCGTCGCTTTTGGGTTGAGGGCAAAGCTGATGTAGTCTATAACGTACTGTGACACCAAGGTCTACAAGCACGCAACCTTTTTAAAAAAGCTCACAAAATACTCACCGATTACTCTCTCTACCTTGCCCAGGACCTGGTTGTTGGGAATTGCTTTCCCACACTCGTAGTCTGCGATGACCTGAGGCTTCTCATTAATTTTCTGAGGAAAAGATTTGCGATGAATAATTATGTTATAACACCACAATGTTTTTACAAATCCTGACAAACGGCATCTGTTCAAGCAGTACCACCGACTGCTACATTTTGCACGTCAATACAGGATAACTGTATACTCACAGTGGCCAGGTCTTTCTGGGTCAGACCTTTCTCCTGTCTGCCTTGCTGAATGTACTTTCCCACCTCCAGGGGAACCCTGTCGTGGTGCAGCTCTTCTGTCTCGCGGTCCAGTTTGGATGTGTTCTTCGTCACAAGATGCTGTTTGTTCTGCCCCGCAGACCCTGTGTGATGAGAAGCGGATCAAAGAGATGTTGGGGCATCATCCGGGGTGGTAGACGTGCAACATAAGCATAATCACAGCACCAGCGGTTAGCTACCACTTGGAAAATTACACATTTGTACAGAAAGTATAAATTTACATTTTTTGGATGTCTCAACGTCGTGCCCGCGTCTCATAGCAGCAGTGATTGCCTAGAGAAAAGATGGATGTTCAAATCTTAAACTTCAAAACACACTCCAGATGCATTGACTGTAGATTGCATTATCACCAGGTTATAGTCAGCTTTTGGCTTATCATTATAAATCATCTAACTGTTAGTTAATAAGTAATCTGCTTATCTGACGCATAAAAGACAACATAATCAGAGCTGCCTGAGCACAACGACGTCTACTTTACAACCAATAAGTCTGTTGCTAATCTTTCTGGTAACATTTCATGCTCAGGACTAACCCTAAAAACATATATTCATATCAGAAAATAATGCTGATTTGTCTGTAACCGTTTCGGGCATTTACAGCATGATCGTAGGTGTTCAACTAGCGTTTATGTTTTGCTAAAAATCATCACTAAACATCTGTATACGGGTTGTGCATGACGTCCTATCACACTTAAGAGCATACGTTTGTTCATTGGGTGGCGTTACTTATGAGTAAGTAGAGTAACGTTAACCTAACTGACGTTAGCCAAGTGTATCTTCAGGTTATTTGCCTAATGCTAGCTAGCTAGTTGCTATTTTGGTCACCGTCAAGTATTAAAGCAAACAGTAAACTTAGCTAACTTGTCTCGCTGCCTTGTGTAACGTTAATATTTTCTGGGTGAGATTTGGTTTACCGAAGAGACTCTACGATAGCTTAATGATAATAATAATGTGTGGCTATCTAGCAAACATGTCCACTGTTGTTATTGTTACTAGCTAACGTTAAACTAACCCACGACGCATGATGGACCAGTCGAGTTAACCCATACACCACGTGTTGACATTTACATTTTTACAAATATACTACGCACTAGCCGTTTAATTTGGTGTTCACTATAACTTGAAACGCGGTTAGTTTTAGAGGATCCATAATTAAGGGTGTGCTGCACAACAAAGTTAAAAACACAAAGTGTTCATGCTAACCTGCTTGGATTTGGACTGGGCAGCAGTCGGCCCCTTCTTCCTCAGCACAGTCACGGTATCCCAGTCACTCTCTGCCATGTTTTCAGGGGTTCACTCGTTACCCAAAATATTTAATATAGATACAAAAGTAAGGACAACTCGTGGTGTGTTCAAAATTATCCTTTTTTTTTTTTTTTAAAGAAAGGTAGTGTTACTACGGGTAATGTGACGCTCCTTGCAGAACGATTACCTACGCGATCTGCCAAAGCTTTATTTACAACAGACAAACGAACAGTAACATAATGGAGGAGTTTCAGCAGCGACCTCTGCTGGTGAAGACGCTGAACTACATCCGCATAACAGATTGCCTCCAAAGTATTTTATTAGTATAGACTTTATTTTGAATAATGTATTGCTGAGTGCACCAACTCTATGTAATGTGTGTAATGTTTTTTAAAAATGTAAAAGTGACACAGTTTAGGGAATTTCACTAACTTTACACTTTGCATGGAGATAAAACCAACACATTGATTAGATAGGATTATCCAGGATTTTATTAAATCATTTAGAGTGTTCAACTCATGCAGGGCATAGACAAATGTTAAGTATTACACTACATGTATTGGAATGAGTGAAAATGTACCAATAAAAACAAGTGCAAAGACTTTGTTCTTCAATCATCAATTTGGTGGAAGTGAGCTGTACAATATGTTGCACTGATTGCAACCTCAGTTGATCAACAGGCCACAGTCTAGCAGATCACCAGTTACACGACATCTCAGAGGCAGCGTCACTGTTTCGTCTTGTGCGGATGGGGGACCAGCCAAACTCTGACTGTGCGTCGTCAGCCTGGTGGAGACGTCCTAAGCGGTAGCCATGTTTGGAACTCTGTTTCCCTGCCCATGCGCGAGGCTTAGGATTCATCTGGAAAGAGATGAAGCCGAAATTAAGTTTCTCACATAGATGATGATTCAGCAGTCTACAAAACATTGTGAACCATTTATGTACTATGCTCTGCTTTGCTAGTACGCGTCCTTGTACGGGTCATGTATATCCTTAATTTGTGTTTAAGACCCATTTTTAATATTATAACATGACATATTATAATATTCACGGTGCTAAAATAAATAGACGATTACTGCCAATCTTTCTTTGCACATTACCCAGATGTGCCATCAGAAACTCTATTTTTCGTTTCTCACCTGAACAAAAACAGCCGTGTTCATGTGAAGAGTCTCCACTCGCTCTGACAAGTGATTCAACCATTCGAGATGGTCAGCGATGGACTGGGTAAGATCGGCGGTGCTGGTGCTCTGTTTTTAGATGAAATGAATGTCAAAATAGAAGAGAGCTCAAGGAAAATGAGATCAGGTAGGGATTTACTGCAGACTTTACCCCAGACAAGTTGTCCTTCAGCTCGACAGCGCCAAGGCGAACATGCTCCAGTTTGTCAATCTGCTCTTTCAGCCGGTCGTCGAGCTCCTGCATCATCATCAGGCCTTCATCGGACCTGACGCCACCCTTGGTCACCATCATGGGTCACAGCAACACACCTGTTATTCAAGTATATATTGAAACAAACTGGCTTATGATGCCTGTTAGAATTCAAATGAGAAATTAAATGTCTTTTTTAAAACAAAGTCCTGATACCTGTTAAAGGTTTCTTCACTGACTTTTTGGTACAACCACCAGAGGGAGACACCGCTTTGACTCCACAGACACTTTCTTTACAGATGTCCTACAGGGAACCCTTCTGTACTGACTGCAGTGCAACAACCCTGCTGCTATCTTTTTTTCAGGCACATTTTACAATCATCACTAGTATCTGAACCACGTCACCGATCATGAGAAATACAGCAAATTGGGTTTTTGCCAGGATCCCAATACCACTTGCAACTGGATGAGAACATCAACAATGTAAAAATCTGGATTCAATGTTCAACTTCTAAACACACACACACACACACACACACACACAACGTGTTTTCATGACTTTTGGGGACATTACATTGACTTGCATTCATTTCCAGGAGATTTACCCTGACAGCCAGCCTAATCCTAACCATTACCTTAAAACAAGTCTTCACCCTAAAATGTAAAATATGACGTTATGAGGACGTGCTATTGTCGCCATGAAAGAGTCAGCTCCCCACAAAATGACCGTGTAATCAGACTTAACGTCCCCGCAAGACGGGTAAAACACGCAAATGCACTTTTAGCTTAAAATCTGATTTAGAGAGACATTGCAGACTGGGTAAATGATAATTTAGGCAAACATTAAAGAATCAAAGCTGTTCTGAACTACGGTTTATTTTGGTAAACGTAAAAAACAAAGCAAAGCACTGGGTCACTTTTAGGCCCCCACAGTGTTTTTTTTAGTAACATTGTAGCAAAAACAGAACATCAACATCAAATATTCAGAGAGCCTCGTGAACATGGTCGCCAAAAAACGCTGAATTCAAATGCTAAACGTTCTCAACGAGTATGCGCGTGCAACACGCCACGGGACAACATCTCTACCACGGCGGGGTCTAAACAAAACAAAAAAAGTAAAAAAGTTACCTTATGTATCTGAAGTAGAAACACCCAAAAATGCTCGGAGGTAAAAAGCCGTGTTTGTTGGGAGGTGACGTACGAGACTTCCTCACTCCGCGAGACCACCACGCAGCTGCAGGCTGAAAACTCTCTTCGTCCAGACAAGTCTCTTTGTCCTGCAAACATCCAAGGAATTTGACATTTCTGACGTCACCAAACCAGCCTTTTTCACAGGTGCGTTATTATTGTGGGTCACTGTTATTAACGAAATAGTGACCAGACATTGGAGAATTATCGCGTCGATTTAATTAAAGGTAAAAATAAACTTAACTGTATTGTAATCTCACTCAGTGTTGCAGTGGATTCTAGTAGTGCTGGATTCTGAGTATTTCTGAGTATTTAAAACAACCATTTTACACCCTCGTCTCATCTGGGTGATTTTTAGAGGCCTGAAGATGTAACCAACCTTCATTTCATAAATAAGCATAATCTAATAACAGTTTCCTGCATGGATTACAGTAGTGTGTAGAGGACAGACGAAGAAACAAGACAATGTTTGTTCCAGTTAGGTTTTATGGCAAATGTGTCCACGCAAACTAAATGTTTGCTAAAACATATTTTTAAGTGGAAATGCTCATTGAAGGAGAGGTCCACTTAAGGTGTAACTACTGGGAGAACACTGGTGGTGCTCCGGTGGCTGATCTGAACACTTCTGCTCGATATGCTAAAACCACAAACACATGGTTCATTTTTTTTTTTTACCACGTAGCCTAAAATCATTTCCTCCAAAATCTCTGCTCCCACAAGAATTTGATGCATGGTTTTAATATGACAAAGTGAGAATACAGAATCAACAGTACATTTAAGAAATCACAACTGCTTTATTTCTTTTCTTTCAATAAGCTCTTTTTTTCTTTTTTTCTTTTTAAACAAGGGAGAGTAATGACCAAATATCTGAAAGGATAAAGATCCGGTAGGATAAATAGAATGCTGGATCAGCTGTAGAAAGCACTGGTCCTTTGACAAAATGAAATATGCATCTTAGAAGTACACCAAAAAAAAAAAAAAAAAAAAAAAGAAGTCAGGGCAACATTTTGGTGCAGGTACAGTGATGAGAAGCATCAGGATCTTTAAGGGATGAGAGGCAAAAACACTCCAAGCCCGATAAACCTAACAAGTGAAAGCAGTCCATTCTGAGAACACGGTGACCTTTTCAACGTTAAATCCTTTATAGTGCCACAATATCTAAAATGAAATGTGGGTTTAAGCCTCCCCTCGCTGACGAGGCGCGACCGTACAGTAAAATATGCATATACATATATACCAGTGAAACACTGTCAAAGATAAATCGCAACATTTTGTAGTGTCATGGAGCGTTATGGTAAGCAGTAACATTGAACCAGTTTTGGCATTGTGAGTTTCAAAATGAGTCTATTACAAAAGAAAAAAAAAAAAAAGTTTCCAACAGCTTCACATTTTTCAAATAGAACACTTTAGAAAGTCCTTCGTAGTCCTCTGGAACTGCAGCGTTCACAAATAAAGCTTAAGCAAATTGTATGTTAATTCAACAAGCGATGCTAAACGCCCTCACATGTGATCCATTAGCTTCTAACAGAGGAGAAAAAAAAGGTTATTTGGACCCTGATTGTGATTATAGTTAGGCTGCATTTATTGCTAGTGCCAACTCAAGAGACCAGATGCTGACTAATCAAATGGTGATGAATCCGTTCCATCACAGGTCTCCACAGCACTGTTAAACGGAATTAGAGAAACGTCTTTTAAGAGCCTTTAAAGAAGAAGACAGGGATGTAAAAACCACCACTTACATCACATGTTCATTAACAGATTTGATTCATTACAACCCAAACACAGCAAGAAGAAAGCAAACATTTCAATCAGATATTTTAAGGGGAGGGGGGTCCTTTACAGCAATTGCTAATGCAGCCCCTCCCTCCCCCCCTCGCCCACACAAAAACTTCACAAGGCCCCCCCCCCCCCCCCCCAAAACAAAGTGTGTTGCCAGCTTGGTTGAGCAACATCCACTCAGTCGATGGCAGCGCTATGAATGCTGAGTTCAGGTACAGTCTTTGTGAAATCTCGCTCGGTTCTTAAAAAAAAAAAAAGGTCGCCGCAAAGTTTACCCACGTTCAGCACGTCACATGCTGCATCAATGCCGGTGAAGTTTCATGGAAGCAACATGATTTTGGTAAAAATGTCCACCTTTTAGTTTTCAATTTACATACAGAAGAGAGCGAGCAGAAGAACGTAAAAGGAAAGAACCGAGTTTCACCACAGTTCGTGGGCGGGGTTAAGAAGATGCATTTCTAAGGCGATGCACTTGACGTTTTGCCATGTTGACATGCAATGGTGTCCTCAAATTGGAGGATTTTTTTTTTTTTTTTTTGTTTCTGGGTTAATAAAATAAGTCCTTTACCAATAGCAGGAATGGGTGATCTTTTATAATTACCAGCAAAAATGACAATGAAAAATGACAAAAAAGTGCCCCACTGCATTTTAAATTTGTTTAAAAAGTGTTGACAGACTTTAGCTTCTCATAGTTGTATCAAGAGTCTGCCTGGTCTTAACAGCTACAGTCCATAAAGAGGGAGTAAATACAGTTTGGCAAAATGGTATGAAAAATGAACCGTCTGTCTTGAGTTGGCCATTTTCCTTTCTCCACTTTGGAGAGAAACACAAAACAAAACAAAAAAAACAGAAATATCTCTTCTCTTTTACCAATCTCTTAAAAGTGACTAATAATAAATTAAAGAGGACCTTGAAGAGATCTGTTTAAAAGACTGTGTCTATGTATATATTTATATATATATTTATATATCTCTATACGTGGTGTGAAATAATAGTGTCCAGTTCTGATAGTTCAAGAGGGGTATTTCATCATGATGTCTGCATGTAGGCCCCTTGCCATGGAGCCTTGGGATCAGGTGGGTGTTGGTAGGCTCAGACATTGGTCAAGGGGCTTGTGTTGGCAGGCTAAGTTGTGTTGAGGATTTTAAGGTCCATTGTTATGCCTTGGCCTCCCCTACTTGCACCGCCTGTGGTTTGATGGCTCCAGAGCGTGCTGGTTTGGCTTGCCCCGTGGGGGGGAGGGGCTCCTGGAGTTTGCTGGTCTTTCCCTCACCCACCGCCTTGCGCACTTCTCGCATGGTTTTATTCTGCACGAAGAAGAGGCAGCGTTACCGAGACCTACAGCAGCACATCGAAGACAATACATGTATGCACGAACACTGATAGCCCGAGGCTGATATTAAATATTAGATTCCAAAGAGGGACAATTCTATCCGTCTGCATTGTTTGTCAATATCAGCAGTTACTTTGCCAATTTATGCTTTGTCTGGAAAAACAGTGTCATGTTTATTATACTTGGTTAATATAATATATTTGGCTTGTACAGTGTCATGAGGCAGGAAACATTCTCAGCTATCCATCTATCAGCCTTAGACTATCCAATAATGTTTGAACAATTATTCATATACACAGGAATACAAGTTATTACTGCTACCACATGGATTAAGAATGCTGCAATGAATATTCTAGACAACTGTGAAACATTGATAGTACAGTTAACGCTATAAACACATCAATATTATCATTAACAGTATAGAATCACACTATGCCAGATTAGTCTTGCAGCACGACACATATATCCTATAAAGACCTGTCAGATACAGCATGTTAACTATGAATCTAAAGTCAGAGGCACACCAACAACATACACAACACAAGTAATGCAAATAGAGAAAAAGAAAATGGATGAAATCAAATTACCTATATTTACAGTGGGTGGCTCACCTTCATGCCATCCTCTGGCCCTTTAATAGGGGCCTCGGGGACAGAGGGAGGGGTGGAGTGGGAAAGGTCACGGCCAGGATTGGGGTAAGGGGGGGGGCGGATGAGGACAGGCTTGTTGACCTGCATGACTGGTCTCTGAATGGGGTTGGGGAAAGGGCCAGTTGGGGGGGGGCGCATGTGCATCACCATGCTGCCCTGAGCAGTTGGGACCTATTGGGCCCGGGACAGGAGGAGGAGGGGGGGGGGATAAATGAAAACACAAATAATTAGCATTTCAGAATTTAATTTGTTCGGAAAAAAAAATTTCTGAATTTAAATCAGCCGCAGGTTTGTTTCTTCAAACGCATCTCATCAGTGCATTTATTTATGTCAGGTGAGGACAATGTGGATGTGTTTAACCAATCATGTTATTCAATTTTAATTCTTAAAAGCAATCTTTTTGAGATGCAGGATATACACAAACACACACATTTAAAAAAAGAACTACCTGCTGAGCGTAATGTGTAGGCAACAGGCCTCCAGGACCAGAGGGCTTCCCACTGGGGCTGGCAGACCCAGGCCTGATGAGGAGAGGGGAGGAAGAAAGTAAAAGTGTTACACCTTTGTGATACAACATCTCTCACTTGTTGACAGAGCAAAGCTTCATGTCTGTTTGAGACAGATTTCTTCTATTATAAGTCATTTCCACTCACCTGTAGGACCCTCCGGGCATGCCTTGGGAATGATTGGGCTTATCAGAATACTGAAAGCCTTTCATTTCCATCTGTGAGCCCTGAGAATATGGCAATGAGAAAGACATATCGTCACATAAACAATTATAGACGTTTTATAGATAACAGTTATGCAGTATTTTATTTGTCTACATGTTTTTGAGGGATAAAATGGAGTTTGATGTCCATTCTTGCACTAATCCCTGAACAGAGCAGTTTTTTTGGTTGCGCATCATAAGATCAGTAAGTCCCACCTCTCGGCTGCCGGTCATGACCGCACCCTGGGAACCAGGTGGCAGCATTCGACGTGGGCCGCCAACTGACAGGTTCTGTCCCTGCTGCAGCTGGATCGACTGTGGCATGATGAGATGCTGCTGAGCTGAGCCGTAGCGCAGCTGAGAGCCAGGTAGGGGCATGGCCACCTAGTGAAAACAAGGATTTTAATGTCAACGTTGTCCAATGATGGTCTGACTATGCCATGAAGGCTTATACGTGGGGAGCTAACACGAACGTTATTTAGCAGCATCAAGAGGAATACAGTATCTTCAGCAATCCACTAACCTGGATGAGCTGAGAGTCCATTAGCTGGGAGGAGCCCATACCGGGCCCTTGGTTCATCTGGCTGTCGTAGACTAGCTGCTGGCTGCCATTCATGGGCTGATAGTGGGAGCCTGACTGCGTCTTGACCATGTCTGAGGGCTGCATGCCGGGGAAAGGAGAGTAGGGCCCCTTGAGAGGGGCTCCACCCGACAACACCATGGGGCTGGGCTGTGACAGGTTGGGGTGCATGTAAACCTGGGACCTGAAAGGACCGAGACACAGCAGGGCAGCAGCATGAGGAAAACATTCAAACTACATAGATGATATGACTAAAGTGAAGCTAATTGATGGGACCAGTGGAAATTCCTTGATAGATCGAGGCGGCAGTACCTGAAGGGGGGAATGGAGCTGAACATATCTTGGGACTGAGAGACGGGCAGACCTCCCCGAAGCCCCAACTGAGCCTGAGCCTGAAGAGACGTGTGCAAAGAGATCGGAATCTGCTGGGCGGCCGCCGCCTGAATGGATGAACAGAACTAACATGATGACAATTCTGCTTAAACACAAACGAAGCACAAACTGTCTGTGCGGGTGTGTATGTGTGTATGCGTCTATCTCGCTACCTGTTGGTAGGTCTGCTGCTGGGTCATGGTGGGAGGTACGAGGCGGGGCTGGCTGGGAAAAACATGACCATCCAGATATAACGGGGGAATATGACTACCTACAAAAAAGGGAAAAACAAAAGGCTTTCAGTTTAGTTCCACTCAAAGATTAAGCCCTCATCAAATAGAGAAAATGAAATGCAGTTTTACCTTGCATGGACATGGAAGGTGCTACTGACGCCACAGGCATTGGAGGCATTGAAACCCCTCCAAAGGAGCTGTAGCTGACACCGCTGGAGGAGCCAATGTTGCACGGCGGCTGAGCACCGGAGACAACTCCGCCAGGAGAGCCCTGCTCGGGGAGGGACTGGGAGTTCTCCCACGCTTTTCGGGCCGATTCCATCTGAAGAAAAAGAAACATTTAAGGTTGATGTGACATGTTTGAATAACACAGTCAGTTTTGCCTTAATGGATTGTAATTCAAATACCTTGAGAGTGAGGTCAGCACTGGGGAAGGAGAGGGGGTTGAGGTTAATGCCAGGCTGCAGGTGGTTGGAACGCAGCATGGGGATACTCTGATTGAGAACAGTCTGTTTAAAAACAAACAAGTTTAGGATAAATCAGTTGCGAGCATTGTATTGACAATTCCTGTGACTATTGTCGCATCATTAACGCATTTGGATTTGTTATTTTATTCACAAGACACCACATAAGTACAGATATACTCTCTCACATTGGTAGTAAGTACGTCCTGAAGCTTGTTGACAGGATTGGACACGGGAACTGCGGTGGAGCCCGGTGGAAGGCTGAAATCAGAGTCTTTGGCACTGACGCCAAACTCAATAGGAGGCACAGGCAGCACGGTGTCCACATGGAGGTCCACACCATTGACCGGCGTTATCGGGCCACCTTCCAGCCGATCAACACCTTCGGACCCCTTGCGGTGCTTTAGGGAGCGTTCATTCCCGATGGGCCCTGGCTTGTGCTGTTCTTTACTTTGCTCTGGGCCGGCATCAGAGTCCTGGCCAAGAGGAAGACAAGGCAGTGATTGGTTGACGTTTCTCAATGCTGTAGCCAACTTGTTATTTGTTAATAATAAAACAAAACCAGGATTCAGAGAATATATGCAGTGTAAGTTCCAGTGAGCAACTGCATTGTACTACCTCAGAGTTGGGCTCGCTCCCAGTGTAAGAAACCTGTTTAGTCCACGAGTCTCCTGAAGACTGTACTGAAAGAGCTAAAAAAGATAAATGAACTCCATTAGTGAAGAATGCAATCAATTTGTCTCTTTTCACACAATTTCCATTCACAAAAAAAGCCTTGAACCATCTATGAAATTGATAAATACAGAGCTACAAAGCTATATTCTGCTGTGTGTTACAATAAAACAAAGATGCTCTAAAATAATGTTACTGCTAAATAGCATTGACAAAAGCATCAAAAACAAAGCGTTGTCACAGAGTTGGGTCTGTCTACTACCTGAGCTGTTGGTCTCCCAGATTTCAGTTCCCAGATTGTTGGAAGACAGCGCGTCCTCGGGTTGTTCAAGGCTCATGCTTCCCTGCTTTTTTGCAAAGCGTGGCGGTATCTTGGATGCAATGATCCTGTTCTTCACTGGAACCTGACACAGGCAACAACGATAAAAAGCGTTAAAAACTACACACTTTGTGTTTATCCCCGGCATGACTACAGAGCATATGTTAACTTACAGCAGATCCCTGCTCCTTCCTCCTCCTATCGTCCTCCTGTGGGCGTCTTTGCTTTTTGGACAAGGCATCCTGGTATCCGTCTGGATTTGAAACTGGTCCCCCTGAGTCCCCCTCAACTACAAAACAGGCATGTGGTCAATGCAAAATGATCTGCAGATAGGTAGGAACTGCAGATGTGAACAGTATGCAACATCATCAGTTTGTTTTTTAGCTTAAATTAGATCAGCATCATCCTAGAAATATAGAAATGTAGCAGCAACAATTCTAAAATTTATATGGGCAACAGTTCACCATCAGAATTGTTCATTTCTATCAACACAAAAAGAGAAAGAACTCACTTGGGTAGCTGCTGAGCTCATACTGGGACAGATTTTCAGTCATGTCCGTCTTGATAGATCCTTGCTTCAGTTCCTTGTCCATTTTCTTCCCCGAGGGTTCATTGGGCTCCCGCTCCTCTGGTTGCTCTATGCCGTAGACTGAGCCCGACTCATCTGAGCTTCTGCTGGAAAAACAGGAAAGGGAGAGACAAAGGGTTTTAATTGGGCATTCTGACATCAAAAAATGAACAATAACCTCTGAGAAACCTGTGGTCAAATAAGTCTCATTTTCGCACTTAAAAACAAATATCTAAAACATATATTTCAGTTAGCAAATTAGGCTCAGCAAAGGCTACAGGAGCAGCTGGAGCAACAAGAAAAAGAAACGGGATGATTTGAAATTCAGGCTCAATGCTGTGGAGAAAAAAGACAATTTACTTCAACTTTTTTCTATGATTCACCTCACCTTTTACAAGTCCCTCCATTCTGCCAACTGTCACTCCTGTTGGAGGAGGGTGGATTATCCGGCGTACGTGACATCTTGCTCACTTCCAGCAGTGACGGCTCTCCTTTCCTGTTCTGCCGTTCCACCAACGGTCTCTGGCTGGAGAAGCTCCTCTTGCAAAGTTCCCTCTTCTCGCCAGAGCCTGGCTCCCCGTGGCCAGAGTCTGAGGGAATATCACCGTGTCCTTGTGTAGCCGGGCCTCCGCCTCCACCTCGCTTCTCTCTCCAGTCAAAGTCGCTGTTCTCTGATCCGGTCTCCCATTCCTCTACCTGACCGTGCTGGCTCGGGCGTCCACCAGTGTAGTGGCCGCTGGGCCAGTTCTCCTCCCCGCTGCCTTTGGGGCGAGCAGGCCAGGGGTTTGCAAACTCTCCATTGATGTACTCATCGCTCGTCCACTGGTTAGAGCCAGGTTGAGGATCTTGTTGTAGACGACGGAAACGCGGAGGCTTGTCTTGACGGGGTGGACGCCGCCTTCGTATCATCTGCCTGTCAGGGTTGTCGTTGTCGAAGTAGTACTCTCCTTCACGGTCCTCTGTGCCATTTTCCACGAAGGAGCCGGTGGATTTAGACGGGTAGTTGAGAGCCTCGCGCTCAACAGGGGGTCTGCGGGTGTAAGTAGTCTCAGCTCCAGGTACATAACCATTTTCTTGCATGGAGCCACCAGTGCTACTAAACTGGGGCCCACGGCCCCTCCATGTAGAAATGTCCCTGGATCCTCCAAAGCCTCGACTGTAACTTCCAGTGGTGTTCAGTCTGGGAGGCAGCATGCGGCCTCCGAAACCCCTGCTGACCTTGGTTTTTTCTCTGGAATCTTGGGCCGCCTGGTCATCTGTGTACACCTTGTTGGATCTCCAGGAGTCTCTATCAGCCTTACGGACTTCTCCAGACTCTGTGTAACCTTCACCATTTTCAGATCCCTTCTGGCGGCGCCTCTTGGGCAGTTCCTCATACTCTGAGGTTTCGCTTAAGGTCTCGCTGACATTGCGCCTGCGGGGCTTGCCCCTCTGGAACTCCTCCACCGTGACAAGGTCCCTAGTTGCTCTGCCTCTGCCTGTCCGCTGAGGGCCACTGCTGCTGTTATTGTTGTTGTAAGCCCCCCTGAGATTTTCTCCAACTCGGCCACCACGGGTTCCACCTCTTGAGCTAAATTCCCTAAATCCTCCTCGACTGCGTCCTCTCCCTGTTCCTCTGACTGCACCAAAGGCCTGTTCTTCATCAATGAAGATCCAGTTGTTGCGGCGTGGTGCTTGAGGCTCCCGAATTTCCTGGCTTTCTCTCAGTGACTGGTTCTTGCCACTGTCCCATGTGCTCTCTTTGGGAGAGTCATCGCTGTGGGTGCTCAGAGGCCTGTCTGTTTTGGTGGGAGCTGGTGACTGACGCTGCCTCTCCTCAAGCTGCTTCTCAACAACAGGTGATGCTGAACGCCTGTTGCTGGCAGGCTGGTTATCTCTCTTCAAGTCGTAAACGTTAGTAAGGACTTCTTTCTCCAAGCGGTAGGGGACGGGCTTCTCCTCGGGCTCAGGTTTAGGCTTCTCATTCTCTTTATCTTCGACTTTGAGAGCCTTGAGTACTGGTTTCTTGATGGGCCCAGTTCTGCGAGTCAAGGTGCGGCCACTGCTCTCAGATGGCTGGCCAACACTACTACTGGAACTGGAACTGGGCTCAGACCACTGGCTTTGGACATTGTTTAGTCCTCCATCTTGTTTCTGGCCTCCATCTCTTTTCCAGTTGTCCAAGTTCTCATCGTGAGATTCACCGCCGTCTTTCTGATGCTTGTCTCTGGAGTCTTGTTTTGGGTAATCACCATCTGCATGACTCAAGGAGTGGTTCTGAGCAGTGGTCAGCAAGCCTTGGTCATGGTGTTGGTGTTCTCTGTCTGGGCCTCGGCTCTGGTAGGCATGATGGGGGATATCATCTCGGGGGTGCGTCAAGCACTCATTGGTCCTCTCTTCATAGGAGTCCTGTTGGGTGCAGGCCACATCACTTCTGTGGAAAAAAGACACAAAAGAAGATGAAGAATGACAGAAACAGACAGAGGCCAATGTCAGTAAGCAGGGTTTTACATGGGAATGTTTTGTGAGGCCAGTTCCAATGAAATAACGCCTTAATCTAAGAACTGCGAAATTCAACGGCTCTAATATTTAAAACACAATAACTGACCTGTCCTCTGGCAGACCACTGTCTGAGCTTTCATGCGGTCTCTGGTAAGGTGGAGTGAAGCTGCGCATGGGGTAGCCATCTTGGTTCCACATGGGGTACGGCTCAGTGGAAGGGGTTCTCCTCTCCTGGTGCAGGTTGGAATGGCATCCCTCATCGGAACCAGGGCTGTTCAGGTGGTCTGGATGCATCATGGGTTTCATCATTCCTGCTGAAAACAAATCAGTGTTTGAATTTCATATCCTCATGATAAAAAAAACTGGAGGAAAGTGTGATTACAGATGTGAAAGTATCCGTTATTGCTCACCTGAAGAGTGGACAGCACCGGGGTAGTAGTCCACAGGAGATCGTCCTTGGGTCATACGGGGATCCATGAAAGGCGGCATCATCATCCAGCGGGGATCGAACCCGAGAACATGTGGGGGATAGTAGCCCCGCTGGCTGTGGCTTGAGCCGGATGGGGCAGTGTGACCTGACTGCTGCCAGTGCTGCATCTTGTATACTTGTTCCTGTAGAATGTATGCAACAAATACACTTCTAAGAGATTGTGCACAACGAATGTATGGGTTAGAAGGTGTATCAGCCGGTGCTCACCTGCTGTTGATGGTGCTGGGGCTGCTTTTGAAAGCGGGGCGGGATAGGTTTGGAGGGATGACGTCCACTGTAGTCTCCTGGGGGGGAGGAGGGCTCCTGGCCTTCATCCTCATTGGCACGGTAGTTAGAGAAAGCGGGTTCATCGCGGTAACTATGGCCGGGAGAGCTGTCTTGGGGACACTCACTTCCTTCTGTAAAAAACATTTGATCACAGAACATGCTTAGAATTTGCCATGATGATCTGCGATAAGTAGACACATCTACAAGCTGGTTTTTACCTTTTGTGCTGTACTGCCAGTTCTCATTGTGGCCTTTACTCTCTTCCCTATCTGGGGACAGTGGAGCCTCTTTGCCCTCTCCCTCTTTCTGGCCCTCCTCTGTTCTTGATGTCTGCCTTTCAGACTTCCCAAACTTCTCATCCAGCTTTTTGAGCTTTTCAGCACAGGCAGCCAGCCGCTCCTCGCGGGCACACCTCTCCTCCTCCTCCCGGCGTCTGCGAGCTCTCTCAACAGCCTCCAGCAGCTCAGGTGACACATACTTTGCCCTGGCTGGAGCCTGAGACTGGCGCTGGTGATCGTCTTGGTCCGCCAGTGGCTCACCTTGGTTTTTCTGCTGGGCCTAGAGACGGAACAAAGGCAGTTCAAGGTATATGTCAGAGAATATAAAAAATATCTAGCATGTTTCCTAGAATGCATTTTAAATCTTTTGAGTGACCAAAAAGATTTAATGATTTTAAGGATACCCTAAATTACATTGTCTGCCAAGTCCATCCACTCACATTGACAAAAAGAAAATATCAAATAAGAACCTCAAACATGCAACTCTACTCGTTTAGTTCAGGGAATTTTAGGGACAAATTTTCTCCCATTGAAACAGGCCAAAAAAACTGAAACATAATCTGTATTTCTATTATGTCTGTCACGATGTTTTCAGTTGCCAAACAAGAGACACGGCAAGTGAAAAGTAGTCAGACACTATGGTTACTGCAAGGTCATCCCTCCCAATTCACGACAGTCTCACTTGCTGTTCATATGCTCTGCAGTGTTGCAGTCACGGAGGAAGAAGAACAAGATGTGTTATAACTGTGGATAACATCATAATAAGTTAATCTTAGAGTCATCTCAGAGGAGGAGGAGGATGAGAGTGGAAAAACACAACATAGTTTGTTGTTACCAGGGTGTCCGTAGAGAGATGTCTGCTGTTGGTCTTCCTGGGCTGCTCGTGATGGTGATGTTGGAAGGAATAGCTCTCCTCAGGGCCCTCCAGAGGATAAGACACCTCACCTGAATTTAGGGAGGACTGGATCTGACGCTGGTTCTCCCTCTCCCATTCAGTCCTTAAAAAATAATGCATCAAAATTTAACCAGGAGCCCTTTAAATTATGTAAAAAAAAAAAACTAAAAAAAACTAAAAACAAAAAACAAAAAAAATAGTTTAATCGTATTTAGAGCATCAATGAGCCATCGGGAAAGAGATCTCACCACATCCTGCGTTTATCACCGGAGGGGTCATCTTCGTCATCACTGAACTTAAGCTTCTCACTGTAGTCAACTTCCTCATGGAGTCCTAGAGAAACAAAGTAACAGTCAGTGGCAGTAATGTAGGATGAGATATAGAGCATTGGGAACAGGCGTTGGTATCCTATCTGCATGCTCTCAGCTGGGAAACAGGAAAAACAATGTGGGAGTTACTGCATGTAAACAGAGCTCCATTACAGCCAGTGATTGCGATTAAAATCCTACTTTTCTATTACCTATTAAACTTTTTGGTGAAGGCAGTTCACACGAGTCTTAAAAATACTGACCTGCCCACCCATCCTCACAGTCATTGTCGAGCTCATCCAGATCCTTCAGGTCATCTGGATTAATGATGGCTGGACGTTGGGGTCTGTCCCCAGGCCTGCGGATGGGCTGAGAAGAGGGTCGAGGTGGAGCGCGAACAAAGCGGTTCTCTCCTCTAACATCGCCACTGCAATCAGAGATGGTAGAAAGACAAATTAGCCCAATCTCAGAACACATTGGCTTTCGGTCTGACGACAGATGAGACTGGAGTAAGAGTGGAGAGATGACGTCTACAATCGGTGTGTTTCACAAGTAGACAGTTTACTAATCTAAATCATTGTCACAAGACAGCCGAGGACTTTTAAAATTGCATTCCTGCCAATGCGCTCTGCCTCTTTTGCGCTCCACACGGACTGTTAACCTACTTAATTAACGGATGAATGCTCGCACATTGTGAAAGTACTTACTTGACAACTTCAGGTTTGGCGTAGCTCTGTCTAAAAGTGGGTTTGCTCTCAAATCGGGCTGGAGCTGCTACAGTGGCAGGAACATGGTCGGTACCTGGGGCTTCACGTGTGTCTTTAGAGCACATCTGAAAACAGCAGGACACAATGTGTTCATACGAGGAAAACAACAAGCCGTCAAAAGGATTTGTGTTATTTCTGGCTATTTCACATAGTACTTACAAATGCAGGCAACATGTCATGGTAGACAGCAGTCGAAGTGTGGTGAAGCTGATACTGCAGAGCAGTAGGGATGGTTATTCTGCGGACAGGCTGGGCGGGTCGCAGCGAAGGCTCCTTGGGGTCGAGGACTGGTGACTGAGCCGTCGCTACACTAGAGGAGGTTGTGCTGGCAGAAGGGGGGTGAGATGAAGTGGGAGGGCTGCCGTTCTCAACCAGGGCAGTGAGCTTAACCTCAGGTTCAGCTGGCAAGCCGAGGGTCAGGGACGAGGGCTGAAGGTTCCTGCCACCACCTTCCCTCCAGCTCGTCACATCTTGAAGTGGGAAGAGTTAAGATTTCATTAACACTGGAACAGCTAATCCAGAACATCACAAATGGGCCAATTTAATAATTTGCTTTCCAGCAGACATCCTGTTATCTATGAGATGGCCAGACCACTTTTGAGTGAAGACTTACTCTGGGGGCGGAGGCTTGGTCCGGGCCCATACGACGGATCGAAGCCGCTTCTTTCCTTGCCAGCCCTGTCCTGTTCTCCAGCTGCCTTTAGCGTGGGAAATTCCTCGTGAGAGAAGGGCTGAAGTCGGTTTAAGACCCTTGAACCTGATGTCAATGAGAGAAGTTGCATTAAGAAAAACATTTTGTCTGCCTTACACAAACAGTAGAATGTTGTACTTGGTGGCAAAGGTGTGTGGGGGTCACAATCTGGACATTAGCATGTATCTTGATTTTAAACGCACCTCAATCTCAATTACAGATACATCTGAAATGACTCACCATCTTGCTCTACTGCCTTTCCATTTAGCTGGGCCCATTGCTTTGGTCCACCTGTGTTTGCGTTCTGTGGAAATGAAGAAAAAGTATTTTAAGTCCAGTTCTCTTGCACACCTCCTCTTGATTTTTTAAAATATATTTAATTTGTATTAAGGAGCGCTTCTCTAAAATCAAATTATAGACAGAAGTTAATCCTCATGATTTATATATATATATATATCATATGTTGTACATGACCACAGCAACACATACATACCTCCTGGTTGGCTACCGGTGAGGGCTTCTGAAGATTGGAGACAGATTTCTGTAAAGCCAGCTGTGGCTGCAACTCCGGCAGCTGTGGTATTGATGCAATAGAACTACAAGGAAAAAAGTTAAATTTTGTCAAAGCGAGCTACAGGTACAATGACTTGATAAAAGGCAAGAGCAGAGAAACACAAGACTTTAGGCGGACAGACTGGACCTCCAGGCAACAACTATCTCTAATCATAAGAATAAAGCTTTGTAACAAAGCTTTATTGAACTTTTTCCTGACGTTGCCTTCTGAGAAGGATAAACGTGTATTAAGTCGATACTGGTCTCTTAGAAAGCACCTTTCCATTGCACCCAGTATAGTTAACTTGTTTTCCTTCATTGCTCAACAGCCTACATCTTTATGACCGAAAACCACAAAAGCTATGACATTTGCCAAAGTATCTTAAAATAAGCTATAAAATAATTACTTGTAGCACAGTGGGTTTCCCTGAACTTTAATATAATACTTAGATAAGTGGGTAGTTTAGAGAGTTTAAACCATTCTACCCTCACCTCTTTTGATCGGGTTGTTCCTGCTTGTTCGCCCATCCTGTACCGTCCTTCGGCACAATAATCACGTTGGGATCGTTTCCTTTGTTTTCGGACTTCAAGCTCGGCAGGTGAGCCGGTGGGGGCATGCGCCGGGCTGCGGCCACTTTGCCAAGACTCTGCAAGCCATGTCGCGGAACTGCCGGGAGAGAAAACACGGGTAGATAAAGCAAGGGGAATGAGATTTACAGTGGGATATACACACGGTAACAAGAGATGCAAAGAAAGTAATCAAGTATTGAGAAGAGACAAAAAATTATTAAACGTACCTGCGTTTTTCTGATTTTCTATTGATTTTCCCTTGTACTTGTCAAATAGGCTAAGTGAGGAATACTTGCTTTTCCCATCCTTGGACTTGGTTATTTGCCCCAAACGATCGGACATTGCGATGTAATGTCATCTAGTATGGAAATTTTTCTTTGTGCCTCTTCCCAGTGCCTTCTGATTCTACAAAGACGGGAGGAAAATAAATGTCAACCGTAAGTACAGACCTCACTGTGAGATCAAAACATTCAACCTTCAAGGTGGAGGATGTTCATCTTCAGGGCTCTTCAGTAGTGCGAGATACAATTTCATGTGGTCACATTCGTCACGCGTACCACGTGCATGCACCTGGTTTTGAGAGGCAGCTGAGAGAAATTTAACTCAATACGTGCGCACATAGCGCTGCCTAGCTTGTCTACGTTGCGGCGTAAGAGTTCACAAAACAATCCATACTTCCTTCAATAGTAGCACCAAAATTGAACTTAAGTAGGAGTACTGGTGTAAATGTGCCTAGTTATTTCAATCACTGAATAATACCATGCTGTCCCAAAACAAGAGTGGGACCAAATCATGTGCTACCAGTGGAAAAGTTAGTCTGGAGTCCTGATCTATCTGAACGTGTGAGGATGGGTAGTATCTATATTTTGTCATTTGTGAATTCATGCTCGAGTACGAAAAGACACCATATTTTAAAAGAAAAAAATCATTTTCAGGAGCTGCAAAAAGCGGCAAATTGTAATTGAGGCATTCAGTTTTTTTGTTTTGTCTTTTGGTTACAAAAAAAGAGAAATGTAAATATAGGATTTATAATTTCAAAGATCTATATATTAATAAAATAAATCCACTTTGCATCAAATAAATCTCAGGTCCCCCTCCATTGGCATTGCACACATTTGGGCGCTGTCCTTAAATGCACATTTGATTTGAAATGGGAAAAAGTGATTTGTTCCATGTCGACATGGACTGCTTTGAAACTTTACTTCACAGTTCTTGCTTATTTCATATCCTGACCTGAGGGCAAAGACACAAACAAGTCATACTTGTCTATGACATGCTGCCTAAGTGGCAAGGTTGCTTGTGTAGGATTAATGGTATTTTGGACAAATACATACTTTAAAACTGAGTTTCTGTGATCAAAACTAATGCTGCAGACATGCTGCTCTCTATATGTCAATAGTAATGTTATGCAGGTGTGAATGAGACAAAAGCACTGTGTTCAAACCAGACACCAATCAATCTGAGCATCTGTGTGGAGTATCCAGAGTAAAAAGGAACATCATTTCTTTAGCTTCTGGCTATTTCAAAAAAAAAAAAAAAAGTTTGTTCTAAGCTTTGATCACCACAAAATGAAGTCTGTCACATTAACCATCTATTTGGCTTGATACCACTAATAGTAAGGGGGAAATGTGTTTCAGCCTTTTGACAGAAATATCCTTTTAAATGTTTGTAGGAAAGCTTTGGATTGTGGCACATATGAAGTTAAGTTAGATCCAAGCACTCAACGCACCAGGTTAAGCTTATACACTAATGCGCTTATCCAGAGTTCACGTCTGACAAAATCCTGAAGTTACATACTTGAATAACAATTGTTGGCCCAAACACTCCTTGTTACCACACAGAAATATGCTGACATACATCCAATGTTATGCAAACACATACCGCAGTTACTACTGTAACTTCTAATGGCACCAAAGACAGATGTACACAAAAACATGTAGATAAACTCAATTATGCAAGACACTGTAAATAATAAATTGAAATATAATGGCAATAAATTCATTGGGTTTACCAGTGGAGCTCATGTGGCCGCAAATATAAACTATAGCAATCGCAGCAAAACAAGATCCACCAACGTGTTATACATAGGAAAGCAGAATTATTATTATTTTGATCATAAATAAAATGATTTTGACCAAGACAACGTTAAGTTGCGCTAACATTTCGAGGTGATTGCTTAATAAGTACGAATAAGAATAAGTACGAACACGACAAAGAAGGAAACACAAGGCTTTCATAATCTAGGCTAAATGCTCGTGTTTCTTTGTTTATATAACTAGATTAAAGCAATAAAAGCCCCCAGATGTTTTGAATTTTGTACAAACACCTATGCTAATAATGATGTTCGTTTCAGCCGAATACCAGACATCCCGTAACGTAACTTAGGTTATCGAAGGCCGCTGCGTTGAAGCTCCGCATAGGCGTTTTTACTGGGATTTACCAGGAAAAACATCGGTCCATCGAGTTCGATTTAGCGGAGTATTAAAACAGATAATACCACTCCTTTATACTTTCATTTCAGATAAACCCTAACATTTCTTTAGGGACCACCAAAATTAGAAACCTAGCGTTAGGTGACATTTGGTTAGCTAACGTTATGACAGCTAACATTAGAAATGCATTGAAGCGTTTACATTTTAACGGTTATTTCAATCACACAATCAATACAAAACGAAACAAGCACAACATATGACTTTACAAGCTTTAAGTATAACATGCTTTTGGACGGCAGCAAAAATAACGTTTGACCTCCTTAACGTTAGCTGTGGGTGTCGTTACCTCATTGGAAGCTAATGCTAATTCCAGCATATTACACACCAGCCAGTTCGCTGCACAACAACAAAAACAACTGACGTTAATATAAAAACAAAAAAGAGGCCTAGTCTATTTAGCAGGCAATTAAGTCAAAACGAATATTAACGTTAACTTACGGTGAATTGAAACGTAACACAAACGTCAAAAAGGGACCGTAAGTGCTGTTGCTAGCCATCACTAGTCAGATATGCTAGCTGGTGACTGAAGTCAGGGGCTATGTAAACATGGCCAACAGTGGCTGTGCTTCTGGGGAGCTGTGTGTCATATCGTATTTATTTATTTTACCACGTATTAGACTGTGAACATACGGATGCATTCATCATTTGTTGTATATCCAAGCTAGCACGTAGATATCACAACACACAGCCACTTGTTCTTATTTAACATTAGCTAGCTTCGCCAGTCAAAAACTAGCGAAACAGCGATGCCGTTTAACTTCCACTCTAGCTAGTGTTTCAAAAACAACCTTGGTAGGCCTGGAGTTTTCACAGCATTCACATTTGTGCATGGCAATATTAAAACACACTGTTTTTTTAAAGGGAAATCGCTGTAAACACACAGACCAATGTTAACATTTTCAACCGTTCGTTGTTGTTTTTTTACAGAACGGTCTCACGACAGCGATGGGAATGTAGGGCAAGGCGATTAAAAATGGCTGCTGCCCAGAACAAAGCAACAATAAAACTGGGCAGCGGAGAAAGACAAGCAAAATTGGGATATTTTCACACAACCACCTGCCTCCATAACTCACCAACTCAACGGCTTAGTGTATCTTCGGATCAGTGACGGTGATATATTTCCACAAAATGTTGTCTATTCAAAGGATGGATGGAGATTGAAAAGCCCAATCTTCATAGGTTGAACCGATTTCAGCGGTGTTGCTGGGGTTCTACCCGGCCTGGAAATGATCACGGCTGTGTGTAGGCTGGCTCGGCTCGCGACAAACGTCATACGTCACCAAAACGTCTTTGGCACAACACAACACGCGCCCCTGCTGGTTGATTCCAGCAACTACAGGAACATCATATTCATTTTAGCAATGTTCAATCATCATTTATGAAAAAAAATGTATCTTACAAACTGCTGTAAATGTCATTGCAGGCCTATTAACATTTAATTAAAATAATAATATGAGATTAAATAGGGAGCACCCAGGGATTAGGTGATAAGGTAGACAACGGCAGGGTAGGTAGGGTAGAGTCAACTCCTCTAGTGTTAATTTCTATTTATATATAAATATATGAGAGTAGGCCATTACTATTAACTGCAATAAATAACATCTGACACCCCATGTACATGGTCCTTTCTGCATTTCTACCCCTCTACCTCTGTCCTGATCTCTTTCGAATAAAGGCAAACAGCAAACAAATTCACTTTATAATATTTTATAATAATAACAATAAAAAGATGTGTGCAGAATACATAAAAAGATATGTTGAGAATACATCTTAAATGTATATTGAAATTAACTGAAATGTAAGACAGCTTTTAATCATATTATAGCTGTGATTTTATTCCAGGTGTGACTGACTCTTTACTATTATGACTGATCTCCGACAGAAAATTAGTTTTTTGGTCAGTTGAAATATTTCCATCAAAAAAAGGAAAAGGAAAAACAATATGATCTTTATTCTAGCTTTTCATTTGTCTACTTAATTACTAATTTTCTCACCACTAACAGTAGGAAAAAAGATAAATTAAGGGATGAAATTAGGGAATGAGCATGAAACAGAGATGCGGAGCATTCAAATCTAGAGCAACAGATTCAATGATCACATTTCCTTTAAATGGAATTTAATGATTTTTTCTCTGTATCCTGCATTTTTACTCAATTGGCTGATATTCAAAGATCAGGGTCTGTTATAAGTAAAAACAAGATCTTTCCACAGCATTGCCAGTGCTCATAACAGCCAAGACAGGCAGAGCCCTCTAGAGGGAGCACTTGTCTTACCCTTCATCAACCATTCCTTTTAAATGGCTGCAAATATACTGATCCACCAGCACTCACTGTGTCCTTTTTTTAAAAAAGTCAGTAATATTGATGTTGCCCTTGCAGATATTTAACAAAAGTCACATTGCACTGACTTAAACTGGACACAAGCTAAGAATGATGAATTGAAACAAATGTTTATTAAAGCAGATAACAGTGGGCCTATAAGATGTTTCTAGTGTAACACATAATTAACTCCAATGGGGCCCAAACCCTATTTTTTTTTGTAAGTTCATTAAATCTTTATAAAGCTATTTTGCAGACTAGTGACAACTGCTTTTATTTTTTTGTCACTGACAATCTCCAGAATACCTGTTTGGCAATAAAACATGCTCAGAGCTACATACCTACAGCATACACAAAGGTCAGTGGCACCTGGGAACTGGTGGAGTCTAATGTTTCCTCAGAGCATGACACAAACAGAGCATCAAGACACAGCAGCAGGAAGTGTGGCATCTGTTGAGTCAGTGCAGAAACAGACCTGCAAGCACTATCAGTTCTTACCCACAGGGATATTTTGGGTACATTATATGCAGGGTTGTATAGCCTTGATTTGGGTGTAAAATCAAACAAACCTGTACTGGGACAAGCTCTAATATAGTGATGCTTTTTTGTTGTTGTTATTTTTAGGCAGGTAATGTCATTGAGACACAGAAGGTCCTTAAAAGAGAATCAATATGACATTTGAAGGAAAGGCTTTGATTATTTGTGATGCCTTGATATTTGTAGGTGGTCACAACTTGTTCTGATGTCTAACAATGCACACTTAATCAGGTAACAAACACAAATCTTTGACTGCTGAATCTCTTTCCCCTCTGACTCTGCCAGACGTTTTTTTTGAAGCAGTTTCTGTTCCTGCTATTTGAACCGTTTCAGGGAACACAACATTGCATTGCTCTTGTTTCCTGTCTGTTTTCTGTGGTAAGAGTTGTGTGACAGGAAACTAGAGTTAAAGGCTGTGAAGAGACACAGACTTAATGACTTTCAGAAATATTGTTGCATCATTCATGTTTGCTCTCCCAGTCAAATAAACTATTTGGTCTAAAATGATGTGTATGCAGTTAACAGGCAATCGTGAGACTAAGGCTGAAACACTGTATGTTGATAAAAGCACTTAAGCTTCATGTCAAGTGAAACCCTACTTTGCATACTGAACAGAGCACTCTTTCGGCTTCACAGTTGCACTGCAAGTGCAGAGATGTAATAGAGGATCTTCACAATTCTTTTTTAGGTTGATGTAAGGATGTAATGCTTTTAACCATTTCCATTAGCTTCTGTTTTGTGTAACAAGTAGGATATATATATATTTTGCAGCAATAATTTCCCCTTTTGTTTACCACAGCCAGAAAGTGTATAATGCCGCATGTCAGAGCTGTCTCATGACTTTGGGTGTCATACTTCTTTATTCTTTTGCTGACCAAGTAGTCCAGCATGTGATTCTTAACAGTCCATGTGATTATTGAAGCGATCAAAACAATTTGTTGTGGAAACCCGCCTAATAAAGCAGTTAAGCTTCCTATAGCATTCAGCTGATTCATTAACATTTAACAAATGATGTTTTCCTCATTCTATCTCGCAGATTCACCCAAATTTCATTTTAAGACATTTGTAAAAACCTTGTATTGTATTGTATTGAGTATTGCAGATGAACAGATGCATGACAACACCACACACCTACACCGTTCACCCTGAAAATGAAAATAAAAACAAACAAAAAAATAATAAAAAACACAGGCATCCACGTTTTACTGACAGCCCGCCTCATTTTATTAATGCTGGAAAAAGACAAAGTACAAACATGAAATACAGATCCCTGTACAGAACTACGCAAACTAATGTAGGCGACAAAAAGCTGTATTTACACATCAAACCACAAAACAAGTTTGCAACAAAAAAAAACAGCGGGTTTCATTCAAAGGTCCATAAAAATATTTAGAAAATAAAAGTATAATTTGTTCAAAACTGATATTTCTAACTGACATTTTTTACTTTGTATGCCAATATTCACACACACACACACACACACACACACACACACACACACACACACAC